CCTGAGGAGGAGTCAGTTCAGTAGCTGGAGTCCTGCTGGCCTGTGTCTGAAAGCCCAGGAGTCAGTCACCTGGGATATACCTTTTCCTCAACTTTGGCAGTCAATCTTAATTGGAACCCCAGCAGAGATTAATTGAGTGAAGAAGCTATATATAGGGCCAGCTTTGCTCCCCTAAACCAGCCCCACCCATCCCGGGTGTGTCTGGTCCTTTTCATCTTCTGTTGAACTCCTTGACTTCCTCATTGTTGCCATTGTGAAGAGGAACCCCTCCCAGAGGGGTCCAAGGTGCAGTCTGTTACTTCTTCTTTGCCCCACACCACATTTCACTTCCTGCATCCACACTTCCCAGAGATAATGCTGTCTCCACCATTGCACACCCAGATCCAGAGGAACCTTTTTCTCAGTTCTTCCTCAATCATAACCCAAGTTCCTGGCATCTAAGCTTCCTCCGGGGCCCGAACCATCAAGCTCCCCCAGCTCTGGCCTAGTTCTGCTCACTATTTCAAGAAGGACGGAAGAGAGGGGAGATTCAAGATGGCGGCATGGGTAAACATCTAAACTACTGCCGGGCACAACAATTACTCAACTACAACTAAAAGACAAACGCCCATCACCCAGAACCATGGGAAAGTTGGCTGAATGGAAGCTCTACAACTAGTCTGAAAGAGAAAAGAGATTCAGGGCACAAGCGCTGAAAAACTGAGATACAGGGGTGTGTGTGCAATATGGGCTGTCAGTGGATCCTGGTTGGAGGCTGGCATTGCTTTCTTCAACTCAAAGGAGACAAGCTCCCAATCTCTCTGAAATCCAGTTTCTGGGGAGAAGCTGGACTGTCTGCCATTGGGTTAGAAAGTGAGGGTGGCTTGTTTACAGAGCTGAGCACAAGAATAATTGTTTGCTGTTCCTAGGCGTGAGATACAGGGATGTGGGCAGAAAGGCAGAGAAGGCTGATGGGCAGCCATCACTGTTTGCCACGCCCTAGCCTAGTGATGCCGAGACTGCAATTTGAGACTCCACCCTGCAAAATCTACAAACACACCAAGCTCCAAGCAGTGGCTTTTGCATATGAATGGCCTCCTCTATTGCAGTTTAACCTAGCAAACTTGAAACCTAGTGCAGACAGCTCCAAAGCCTCCAAGCTCCAAGCTCCAAGCAAGGAGGAGAGGACTGTGGTTCTTGCTGTATCTCCTGTAGATTGGCCTCAGACAGTAGCTGAACTGCACCCCAGTGAAGATCCAGAAGCCAGTGTACCTAGTGGTCAGTGTGAGACACCAGATTTCAACTCCTCACATCCATAAGTGACACATTTGGGAGGCAGACTCAGTGAGCACCGAAGCCCCACTGAAACAAGGCCTGCACCATAAGCATGTCTCCATCAAAGCAGATCTTTCTTTATAGACACAGTGGGCCCTCACAGTCAACTGGCCTGGAGGTCAATTCCTCCCAGTGTACCAACAGCAATCAAGGCTTAATTATACCAAGTCTTCAGCCCACAAAAAGGGTGTACAAAGGCAACCACCTTAGGTGATTGGGGAAGCTGAGCTGCTGGCCCCTATAGGTCACCGACCACACAAAGCCACTCCATTAACACAGAGAGGCAGCCAAATGAGGAGACACAGAAGCATGTCATGAATGGGAGAGATGGCGGAAAGTAAACTACTGGATGAGACAGAGTTCAGAATCACATTTATAAGGTTACTCAAGAATATTCTAAAAACCTTTGAGAAACTTGATGAGACCTCCAAGAAGATTTGTGAGACCTTCAAGGACCTTAATGAGAATACAAAAAATAAATAAATAAAAGGAAAAGAACCAGTCAGAAATTAAGCATGCACTGTCCAAAATAAAGAATATTCAATATACCCCAAGAGTCAAATCAAAGTTCTGGAATATGAGGAAGCAAAAAACACCCAACCAGATAGGCAGAAAGAAGAATCCAAGTGTGAGGATAGCATATGGAGCCTCTGGGACAGCTTTAAGCGTACCAACATCCTGATTTTTGGGGTGCCAGAAGAAGAGAGAGAGCAGGACATTGAAGGCCTATTGGAAGAAATACTGACAGAAAACTTTCCCTAACTGGTGAAAGAAATAGACCTACAAGTTCAGGATGTGCACAGAACCCCAAACAAGAGGAATCCAAAGAGGACCACACCAAGTCACATCATAATTAAAATCCCAAGGGCAAAAGACAAAGAGAGAATCTTACAAGCAGCAAGAGAAAAACAGCTAGTTACCTACAAAGGAGTACCCATACGACTGTCAGCTGATTTCTCAACAGAAACTATGCAGGCCAGAAGGGAATGGCAAGAAATATTCAAAGTGATGAACAGCAAGAACCTACAACCACGATTACTCTACCCAGAAAAGCTATCATTCAGAATTGAAGGTCCGATAAAGAGCTTCACAGACAAGAAAAAGTTAAAGGAGTTCATCACTACCAAACCAGGATTACATGAAATGTTGAAGGGTATTCTTTAAGAAGAGGAAGAAGAAGAAAAAGGTAAAGGTAAAAATTATGAACAACAAAAAGACATCAGATACATACCTACCAACAAGTGAATCTAAAAACCAAGTGAAAAAAACATCTGAAGAACAAAATGGACTGGTGAATACAATAGAATTAGGGGCACAGAAAGGGAATGGACTAACAATTCTCAGGGGGAAGGGAGTTTGAGGGGGACGGGAAGAGATTGGACAAAAATCTTATACTATGGATGAAGACAGGGGTGGGGGTAAGAGCATGGGGTGGGGTTTGAAATTAGGTGGAGGAGAGCTATTGTGGGGCAAGGGGGAAGAGGAACACCTATAATAATCTGAACAATAAAGACTTATTTTAAAAAAAAGGGGGGGGGGGTGTGAGGTGTACCTGCTTCAACAGTCAGCCCGTCTGTGGCCTTACAGTATTGCTCTCCCACAAGTTGAGTAAGATTCTTCTTCGCGTGATCATCTATTATACATTCACACTGCACACTGTAAAGCTACTTCACTTACGTTGGGGTTTCACATAGATGCCTGATGAGAAACAGAATCCGCTGTGTCCACTTCAATTAGAAAATACTTCTTGCATCTTCATCACCGTCTTGTGCCGCTGGCCGCTCAGATGGCAGCTTGGTGTGGAAGAGGACCCTTGCATTATAGAGGGTCCATTTGCATAATTTGAGGGCCAGTTAGGGAGGTTTCCAAAAATTAAGAACAGACTTCTAAAAGGAGTACTCTTGCGAGGTAGTAAGCGAGCCTTAAAGTCACAAGAGGTGCCGCACCCTGGTTTATGTATCACTGTGCCACCTTGAATTGCCATTGTGCCCTCCTCCCAGCCTCACTTTCTTCCCAGTTTCTGCCTCACTTCCGGGGATTAATGAGTCCTTGTATTTCTGTGTTTACTTTGGACCCAAGGCTGAAGTTGTAGAATGGAAGCTGTAGACTATATATATATATATATATATATATATATATATATATTATTGATTTCAGAGAGGAAGGGAGAGGGAGAGGGAGAGGGAGATAGAACATCAATGATGAGAGATAACCATTGATAGGCTGCCCCCTGCATGCCCCACTCTGGGGATTGAGCCTGCATCCTGTGCGTGTGACCTCACTGGGAATGGGACTGTGACCTCCTGGTTCACAGGTCATCAGTCCACCCCTGAGCCATCCCAGCCCGGCAGCTGCAGACTCCTTTTGTGACTAAAATAAGAGGAGTCCTTATTTCTCATGGTGTGAGAATAAAGGATGTTCTGGATTACTAACACACTTGCACAAATATAATTGTCCTAGAAGTCTGCTAAAAGAAACAACTTTTGATATGCTAAATGTTCAAACTCGTAGAAACATCATTCTCTCAGAAATCGTTTGCTTAAAAGCATTTCTCCATAAAAATCTAGCTCTCCATGATCAAATTGGTTTAATAATTCTTTTGGCTTATAAAATGCTATATATCTTTTTCCTAATTTGATCAGTATGGAGTGTAATATAAGCATTTAATATTTGAAAAAAAGTATTAAACTTAATTACAATCTGTAAAAAATGCCGTTGATAACAATTTCTTTCTATGGTGTGTCAGCTGAAATATAGTTTGCAAGATCCTTTGCTAACTTTAAGACCTGAATCAAAGCAAGCCCAACTGATGTGTCTCTGTGGTGAGTTCCCAGTCAGGACACCAGCCTGAGTATTGGGCCTGGTCCCTGCTAGGGGGCATGCGGGAGGCAGCCAATCAGTGATTCTCTCTCATCATTGATGTTTCTATATCTCCCTCTCCCTTCCTCTCTGAAATAAATAAAAACATTAAAAAAACATTTTTAATAAATAGTTTTAAAATCAATTAGTAGGCAACCTTTGGACACCTGGATAATTTCTAAGTGAGACAGAATATGGAAACATTGATCACCAAACATTGTTTTGATGCATGTGTGTGTGAGTGTGAGTGTGTGTGTGTGTGTGTGTGTGTGTGTGTGTGTCTTGTAGAAGAACTGCATCTTCAGGATTTGGGAAGAAAATGCTCACATTTGTGAACATCTTATGAGCAGAGTCACTGACCACCTGCATTCTCAACTGTCTTTTCAAGAATATTTGTATAGCTAACAGCCTTGGAAAATAGAAATAGTGTCTGCCTCTAGAGTCTAGAGCAAAGAGTCCACTTATTCAAGATATGGCCAGCTGCTGCTAATGCTGGGACTAAGGCTGCTTAGCAAGAATATGGAGCATGCCGAGGTCAGCTCTGCAGTTCAGGGTTGGTAACCTTTGGGAGATTTTAGCAAAACCCCCAGCATGAGCCAGCAGCGGCCTAAGCTTTGATTCACTGTTGTTGTTGCCTGTGGATGCTGCTTCTCTTCACTGTAATGTGAGCAACCGACACCAAGAAGTTGCACCCGAAGCTCTGAAAGCACTCGACACACAGGGGTGGCTCTGTTCTGAGTGGCTCTGGGGAGAGGCTGGTCCCAGCGGCAATTCTGCTTCACAGCTGAGACTCAGAGAGCCGAGCTCCCTGCCCCGTACATCACACATCGCCCCATCGGGCCCCAAACTCACAGTTTTCCCAATGCCCTGCTACCAGCCCCAGGCTTCCTAGTATCAACAAGCCGCAGCACATTCCTAACCCCCAATAATCAGATGACATAAAATGTTAGAGTCTTTCTCTTTTTTTATTCGAATAAAAGGTGACAAAAACAACCTGCAAATTGCAGAGTGGCATGGTTTTTAATCTACCCACCCCATCAGACATCATTCTGCATTCCTCACACATCATCCTCTCCCCTTTCCTTAATACTAGATGAAAACCCCTTGTGTGATGCAGGAGCCTTTCCCACCCCACCCCCCCGAAAGAAGAATCCCAAGGCCAGGTTCCCTCAGCAGGTGAACGCATAAAGGAAATAAATTAGGAAAGAGGAGAAGAGGAGCTGGTTCTGTTCAGCTCTGTCTCACAGACCCAACAGAAGGGTGTCATGCACACGATATCATTCCACCGGCCATCAGTTGTGAGGTGGACACAGTCCTCTTGCCCATGGTAGTACCAATTATCTGGTTGCCCTGGACTCCAGTTCCTGAGGAAAGCAGATGGATGTGGGCCATGGAAGCTGGACCCTCAGCCAAGCAGAGGAGTCCCTTTTGCCCTCAAAAACCCCCAGCAGGGATAGCAGGCCCAGGCCAAAGGAACAGAGTACAGAGCACACACACACACACTCACTGGAAGCCAGTCTTATAGTCTGTCCCATCCACCCATGTCCAGAGACCAGGTTGGTAAGTAAGGCCAATCCAGGTGTCCACAGGGTACATGTGTTGCTCAAGAAACTTCTGTGGGGAGATGAGGGCGATGACTTCAAATAAACCAACAAGCCTCCCAAACAAGCTCTCCCAGTTCTCACCTGCTCATTCTGGGAGCCCACGACCACCAGATGGGCGTTCTGCAGCTGGCAGGAACTCTGAGCCTCGGACCAGGACAATCGAAAGGGAGAAAACCAGTAGCAGCTGCCGCCATGCTCCAGCCAGCCAATGGGGCAGCAGGCATCTTGAGAGTCTGAGGTGGGAGTGGGGAGGTTCTGAGATGCTGCCCAGGGACACATGGGCAGGATATGGGGCCAGGCACTGCCCCACACACCACTCACCATTGCTCCGGAGCGCAGCCATCTGACAGTGCAGGGTGCGCAGGTCTTTGACCAGCTGCTGGACTCTCAGGAGCATTTCAGAATAACCTAGGACACACAGAGGGCAGTGGGATAATGCAGGGGCCCCGCTGAGGGCCCCCCATGCCCTCCCACCACCTCAGGCCCAGGGGCAGGAAGAAGAGGCTGACCTGCTTGGAGTTGCTGCTGCTCCTTCTCCAGCTTTATCTCCAGAGAAAACACCTTGTCATTCAAGCTGCGGGCTGGAGGGGAGGGCACTCAGCACCCTGGCTGCTCCCACCCCACCTCTGTCCTGAGAGCCCAGCCCCCACCCTTGCACACTCACTCCTGGAGGAGCCTCTCACCTGCCTGCAGTTCCTGCTCCTGGTTTTCTATCACAGCTTTCAGAGATGTTATTGTTGCTTGCAAACTGCCACCTGGAGGACATGGTGGCTCAGTGTTCAGGATTGAGCTCCCCTCTCCCCCACCATGACCCCTCCCATCCAGAGCCCCTTCCAGCCAGGCTCACCCTGGGAGTGCAGTGCCTGGACCTGAGCCTCCGTGTTGGAAGTGAAGTTGCTGAAAGATGCTCTCAGGGTCTCCACATCACTGTGAATCCTGGCACCTGATCAGGCAGGTGGGAGCATGAGTACTAAGCTTGGTCAGTCCTCTCTGTGCTGACACTGTGCAGGGCACTGGACATACATTGGCTTATTGGGTCCTCACAGCCACCCGACTTAAAGGGACAGGCTCTGTTGTTATTCAAGCTTGCAGAGGAGGACACTCAGGCACTTGGACTACATTACCCATGAGTAAGTAACAGAGCACATTTCTAACCCCAAACAACCAGATGGCAGGGCCAGTGACCAGCCATCTTTATCCACCATGACCATCATCAGTGCCTGGATTACCGAACCCACTATTGCCCCCATCCCTGCTTGTCCCGTGACACTCACTTTTGGACCCAATCACAATGATTCCAATCATCAGGAGAAGGATGAGGCCCAGAGTGAGCAGAAGGGGGCAGGGTCCAGACCAGAAATGCTGCAGGAAGGCTGGGGGAGGAGGCAGCCCTGCTGGAGGAGAGGACATCAGGACATGGAGGTTGAGGACAGGAGAGACACAGGGGAGGAGAGGGCCACAGGGACCTGACAGGGATGAAGGGTGGTGCAGGGAAAGCTGGGGAGAAGTTGTGGTGCAGAAGGTGCCCAGGCACTTGACCCATCCTGCAGTCACCTGGGCCCCTCATCCCTATGTCAACACAATGACAATATGTAAGGTCTTATCATCAGGGCTGGGACAGGGAGCAGGAGGACACCTAGTGCACTGGGGCAGCCATGCCCTCAGCAGGCTCGTGCTTATCTGTATTGTCAAGTTAACAAATGTTTCCTTTCCCAACATGACTGTTCACTCCCCCAGTGCAAAAGCTCATACCCTTCCCCAGAGTATAGGCAGCCAGGACGGCTTTGGTCCACCCTGATCCTGTCCTTCCTGAATCCTCTTCATATGGCAACCACCAGGCACTAGCACCAGACACCCGCAGTGTGGGGGACCCCAGCCATGTACATGGTAGAGGTACAGATATACCGTGACAGCAGAAATCCTTCTAAACACATTCACAGAGTATTTTAGGAGACACAGTTTCTCCTTTCCCCTTACTGTTTCTAAAACCTTGGCTTTTCTTCTCACTCTCCAAGGACTGGAGGTCTTCATACATCATAGACATCCTTGGACCAACGCTGAGGCTGCCCGAGCTGAAATGGAAGCAGGGCCAGTGACAAGCTAGGCTGGAGACAGGAGACAGGGGAGGCTGGGACTAGGTTGGAGCTGAGGTAAGAGAAGACGTTCAGGCTGAGGATGAACCAAGGGTTAGGGATACGAATGGGAATGGGCCCGGGTTTGCAGCAGAGGTTGGAAGTGAGGTCAGGCTTGGTCTTTGGGCTGGAGATGACTTGAATGTGAGATTGAAGGTAAAGGTAAAGTTGGAGCTAGAGGTATTACTAGGACTGGGTCTTGCATTGGGGATGCAATTAACGTTCTGCCTCCTCATAGGACCGAGGTCAATACTGGTATTGATGCCATGGGTGGAGTGGGGTCGACATTTGGTGCTGATGTTGGAAATTGAGGAGAGTTGGGTTGGTGCTGGTGTTTGTAATGGGGTTAGGGCTGTGTCTAGACAGGAGGCTGAAGATGGGGCTGGAACTGATGGGGCTAGAGGTGAGGCAACCCCAATCTAATTAAGTGAATAGAGTCTAAAATCTCCAGCAGGTCATTGAATCTCCAAGCTGCCCTTTTATATCTCTTCCTATTCAGTCCCAATTCAGAACCACAGCCCCCTCTCGCTGCTTTCTATAACTCCCACCCTGCCCCCTTTGTCTCACCTGCACCCCCAGGCTACCTGTGCAAAGTCTGGAGGCTGTGATTCTTGGGTTTGCTGAACAGCAATGAGTCGAGTTGGGTAAAACAAAATCCTGCAGAGTGGAATAGAGGTGCCCGAGGAGGAGTCAGGTCAGTAGCTGGAGTCCTGCTGGTCTCTGTGTGTAAAATCCCAGGAGTCAGTCACCTGGGATCTACCTTTTCCTCAACTTTGGCAGTCAATCATAATTGGAACCCCGGCAGAGATTATGTGAGTGAAGATGCTATATATAGGGCAAGCTTTGCTCCCACCTCCCCAACCCCATCCATCCTGGGTGTGTCTGGTCTTTTTGGTCTTCTGTTGAGTTCCTTGACTTCCTCATTGTTGCCATTGTGAAGAGGAACCCCTCTCAGAGGGGTCGACAGGTGGAGTCTGTTCCTTCTTCTTTGCCCCATACCACATTTCACTTCCTGCATCTGCACTTTCCAGAGATGATGTTGTCTCCACCATTGCACACCCAGATCCAGAGGAGCTTTTTTCTCATTTCTTCCTCAATCATAACCCAAGTTCCTGGCATCTAAGCTTCCTCCGGGGCATGAACCACCAAGCTTCCCCAGCTCTGACCTAGTTCTGCTCACTATTTCAAGAAGGACGGAAGAGAGGGGAGATTCAAGATAGCGGCAAAAGTAAACATCTAAACTACTGCCGGGCACAACAATTACAAAACTACAACTAAAAGACAAACGTCTATCACCCCGAACCATGGGAAAGCTGGCTGAATGGAAACTCTACAACTAGACTGAAAGAGAAAAGAGATTCAGAGCACAAGCGCTGAAAAACTGAGATACAGGGGTGCGCGTGCAATATGGGCTGACGGTGGATCCTGGTTTGAGGCGGGCAATGCTTTCTTCAACTAGAAGGAGACAAGCTCCCAATCTCTCTGAAATCCAGTTTCTGGGGAGAAGCTAGACTGTCTGCCATCGCGTTAGAAAGTGAGGGTGGCTTGCTTACAGAGCTGAGCGCAAGAATAATTGTTTGCTGTTCCTAGGCGCAAGATACAGAGATGTGACTCGGGCAGAAAGGCAGAGAAGGCTGATGGGCAGCCATCATTGTTTGCCACGCCCTAGCCTAGTGATGCCCTGAGACTGCACCCTGAGACTCCGCCCTGCACAATCTACAAACACACCCAAGCTCCAAGCAGCAGCTTTTGCATATGAATGGCCTCCTCTATTCCAGTTTAACCTAGCAAACTTGAAACCTAGTGCAGACAGCTCCAAAGCCTCCAAGCTCCAAGCAGGGAGGAGAGGACTGTGGTTCTTGTTGTATCTCCTGTAGATTGGCCTCAGACAGTAGCTGAACTGCACCCCATTGAAGATCCAGAAGCCAGTGTACCTAGTGGTCAGTGTGAGACACCAGATTTCAACTCCTTACATCCATAAGTGACACATTCAAGAGGCAGACTCAGTGAGCACCGAAGCCCCACTGAAACAAGGCCTGCACCATAAGCATGTCTCCATCACAGCAGATCTTTCTTTATAGACACAGTGGGCCCTCACAGTCAACTGGCCTGGAGGTCAATTCCTCCCAGTGTACCAACAGCAATCAAGGCTTAATTACACCAAGTCTTTGCACTCAGCCCACAAAAAGGGTGTACAAAGGGAACCACCTTAGGTGATTGGGGAAGCTGAGCTGCTGGCCCCTATAGGTCACCGACCACACAAAGCCACTCCATCAACACAGAGAGGCAGCCAAATGAGGAGACACAGAAGCATGTCATAAATGGGAGAGATGGAGAAAAGTAAACTACTGGATGAGACAGAGTTCAGAATCACATTTATAAGGTTACTCGAGAATATTCTAAAGACCTTTGAGAAACTTGATGAGACCTCCAAGAAGCTTTGTGAGACCTTCAAAGACCTTAATGAGAATTCAAAAAAAAAAAAAAAAAAAAAGGAAAAGAACCAGTCAGAAATTAAGCATACATTGTCCAAAATAAAAAATATTCAGAAAGTCAACTGTAGATCAACGTACCCCAAAAGTCAAACCAAAGTTCTGGAATATGAGGAAGCAAAAAACACCCAACCAGAGAGGCAGAAAGAAGAATCCAAAAGTGTGAGGATAGCATAAGGAGCCTCTGGGACAGCTTTAAGGGTACCAACATCCAGATTTTTTGGGGTGCCAGAAGAAGAGAGAGAGCAGGACATTGAAGGCCTATTGGAAGAAATAATGACAGAAAACTTTCCCTACCTGGTGAAAGAAATAGACCTACAAGTTCAGGAAGTGCACAGAACCCCAAACAAGAGGAATCCAAAGAGGACCACACCAAGACACATCATAATTAAAATGCCAAGGGCAAAAGACAAGGAGAGAATCTTACAAGCAGCAAGAGAAATACAGCTAGTTACCTACAAAGGAGTACCCATACAACTGTCAGCTGACTTCTCAACAGAAACTATGCAGGCCAGAAGGGAATGGCAAGAAATATTCAAAGTGATGAATAGCAAGAACCTACAACCAAGATTACTCTACCCAGAAAAGCTATAATTCAGAATTGAAGGTCAGATAAAAAGTTTCACAGACAAGAAGAAGTTAAAGGAGTTCATCACCACCAAACCAGGATTACATGAAATGCTGAAGGGTATTCTTTAAGAAGAAAAAGAAGAAGAAAAAGGTAAAGGTAAAAATTATGAACAACAAAAAGACATCAAATACATACCTACCAACAAGTGAATCTAAAATCAAGTGAATCAAAAATCTGAAGAACAAAATGGACTGGTGAATATAATAGAATCAGGGACATAGAAAGGGATTGGACTAACAATTCTCAGGGTGAAGGGGGTGTGAGGGGTACAGGAAGAGATTGGACAAAAATCTTACACCTATGGATGAAGACAGTGGTGGGGGTAAGGGCATGGGGTGGGGTGGGGAATCAGGTGTAGGAGAGCTATGGGGGGAACACCTGTAATAATTTGAACAATAAAGTTTTATTATAATTTTTTTTAAAAAAAGGAGGAGGGAAGAGGGTTAAGGACAGTAACATACCTGGCCAGATAGGGACAGGAATATCTGGGAACAGGAACAAACTTTGATTGAGCATCACATTAACCATTCAGTTCCCATAGACCCATGGGAGAGGGGATTTGAAGATGGCAGAGGAGTAGGTGGACCTTTCTCCCACCTCCTCCCAGAATTTAACTAGAACTGACCTAAATGGGGAATAATCAACCCTGAAATACCAGCTGAAGACTGGCTGAAGAAGAGACTTTTAAACAGGGAAAGGCAGAGATCTCCTCAAAACTGGTAGGAAAGGCAGAATACGGTTTGGCTCAGTCAATAGAGCATTGTTCTGTGGACTGAAGGGTCCCAGGTTCAATTCCAGTCAAGGGCATGCACCTTGGTTGTGTCTCCAGTGAGGGGTGTTCAAGAGGCAGCTGGTCAATGTTTCTCTCTCATCGATGTTTCTAGCTCTCTATCCCTCTCCCTTCCTCTCTGTAAAAAACCAGGAAAATGTATTTAAAAAAAAAAAACTGGTAGGAAAGGCGGGGAGCCAATGGGCACTGGGCCAGCACCCAGGAGCAGCGGGCCAAGGGAGAGGAGGGTTCCCCCAGAGAGAAGAGAGGCCTGGAAACCAGGCAGGGCACAACAACCTGGACAGTCAGAACTAGCAATAGCCAACACGCACCAATCAGCATCAGTGCTTCTAGTAGCCAGAGACCTGAACCGCCCAGGGACAAAGCCACTATTTTAAAGGGCTTGTACACAGGATTTTCCCTCCCAGACACGCATCCTAGATTTAGGCAAAGGGAGAGCAGTGTGAACTGTGAGCAGATAAAAGTGGTCTCGGCCCTCATAGCACTTCCATTCTGGTGGGTGACAGATACAATAAATGAGTAAATATATATATATATATATATATATATATATATATATATATATATATATATATATATATATATATATAATTTACATGGTGATAAGTGCTATTGAGGAAAATATAGCAATGAAGTGAGATGGGTCAGTTCTTCATAGGCCATCAAAAGGGTATCAAAGGGGTCCTCCAGGCAATTGCCAGCAGAATTATCAGAATAGTGAGAGTGGGGAAAAGCATGAGGGATTGGACAGCACTCCTGAAGGCCATGCCCGCAGCACCTGTCCTACCACAAGCGATAGTTCCCGCCTTACTACCTATAGAGACCCTATTGGCATCCACCACAGTATCCCAACCCTCCTGTGCAGGAACAAGTGATGGAGGATGCTGACATCCAGGGTGCAAGAGAACAGGAAGAACCAGTGTGACAGAACATGTATAGGGGCCATAGACCACGACTCCACAGGGGCCCTCCTTCCAAATGATAGCCTACCGTACAGAGCTAACTGGTTTGACTCAGTGGATAGAGCGTTGACCTGAAGACTCAGGGGTCCCAGGTTCGATTCTGGTCAAGGGCATGTACCTTGGTTGCAGGCACATCCCCAGTAGGGAGTGTGCAGGAGGCAGCTGATCAATGTTTTTAACTCTCTATCCCTTTCACTTCTTCTCTGTTAAAAAAAAAAAAAAAATCAATAAAATATATTTTAAAAATGACAGCCTACAGAGGATGCAATGAAGAAGATAAAGAATATCCAAGAGATGAGACCCAAACTCAGCAGCCTCCTCCATATTGGTCCCACTGCCAGTTCAATGACCATCCTAAAGCACAAAATGGCATGGGGACCAAAGTAGCTGATTCACCAGCTCAGAATTTGTCTGCTTCAAAAGCTGAGCAGGGAGGGGCTGAGTAAATGCTGACTTACCATCTCTACTATTAGCTAGTTTAGTCATCCAACAAGAAGAAATTAATATGAAATCTCAGCAATAAGAACAGAACAAAAGATTAAAACTGAAGCTCTCAAATGCTTGCTTTTTGCCCATTGATCAGATACCTAGAACTATCTGCATTATCCATATAGCATGCAATTTTATTATTTTTATCTAAAGGTATCTATTTCAGGTAATGGCACATGTGCTTGCTTTTTATAAGCCTGGTTTTTCTCAATACACTTTTAAAGGTTGTTAAATTGTTTCATCTCTGGTAAAGTTGAGATTTTCAAGAACCTTGTTTTTAATTTGTAAGAAAAGTTTATAATTTGAGCTGAAACCAGTTTGGCCCAGTGTATAGAGAGTCAGCCTGTGGACTGAAAGGTTCCAGGTTCGATTCCGGTCAAGGACGTGTACCTTGGTTGCAGGCACATCCCCAGTAGGAGGTGTGCAGGAGGCAGCTGATCGATGTTTCTAACTTTCTATCCTTCTCCTTTCCTCTCCATAAAAAAAAAATCAATAAAATATATATTTTTTTAATTAAATCTCATTTTTTTTAAAGTTTACAACTTGATTTTTTTCAAAAGTCGACAAACTGCAAGCACCATTTAATAAAGGTCTTAAATTAACAAACAAAAAAAGTATTGGGAGTCAATAAAGACCTTACTGAGAAAGTGATAACTGAACAAAAGCCTGAAGGAGGTGAGGGCGTATGCCATGAGAAGCTCTAGTAGGAAGAGTTTTCCAGATAGAGGGCTCAGCATGTGCAAAGGCCCTGGGTGAAAGCATGTCTGGTGTTTACAAGGATCATCTCTTTGCCAGAGATTCTATAGAGAAGTGAGCTTGATAGAAGAATAGATGAGTCATACAGAAAAAACATGGGTCAGCAATTCTTTGGGGTCTTGTAGGTTCTTTTTGAGGATTTGTTTTCTCCACGTTAGGGGGAAGACTTTGGAGGGGTCAGAGCAGAGGATTGAATGACATGGCCTATATGTTAACTGTACTATGTGACTGCTATCTTGTGGATTTCATGAAAAGGGTCAAGAGTAGAACCAAAAGTCCAGATAAGGATCTATTGTGATACCTAGGAGATAGATGATGGTGACATAAGCTTGGAGGTGATGAGAAGTGTTCATTTTGGATATATTGTGAAGGTGGAGTTGACAGGATTTTGCTGACAGCTAGCATGTGGGCTCCATAGTTCACCTTCTAATCTCCAAAATAAATTAAACTTCGAGCATTTTCCATATACCACTGACTCCCTAGAAAATGCAACTTATTCCTGACTTTTGCAATGACGATGCTTAAAGCTATGTCATCACATTTTGTGAGCATGGTAATAGTGTGAGAGAAGCACTGTTTTGCCATCACTGGCAAACTGAGAAAACTTGTCCACATGGGTAATCTTGGAGAATTTTCCTTTGAATCCCTGCTGTAGTTCTGTTTGGTAAGCCTCTCCTCCCAAAGTCTGACTCCCTTGCCACGTTCCTGGAAGTATCCTTTCCTTTCCTTCACCAGGTTCAAGAAGTTTTCTGTCATTATTTCTTCAAAAAGGTTCTCAATTTCTTGCTCCCTTTCTTCTCCTTCTTTCCCAATAATGTGGAAACTGTTATCCTTTATGGTGTCCCAGAGCTCTCTTAGATTATCCTTATTTTTTTAATTATTATTATTTTCTTTTTCTGTTCTGATTGGATGTTTTCTGCTACCTTGTCTTCCAAATCACTGATTTGATAATCTGCTACACCTAACCCATAGTTTATACCTCCTTTTGAAGTGTAATTCTTCATTTCAGATATTGCATTCTTCACTTCTGACTGGTTCTTTATCATGGTTTCTATGTGCTCTTTTGTGCTTACTATCTCTTTGTTTATGTTCTCACTGAGTTCATCCGTTCTTCCCCTAAGTTTCTTGAGCATCCTTATAATCGTTGTTTTGAACTTTATATCTGGTAGATTGCTTGTTTCCATTTCATTTAGTTCTTTTTCTGGGAATTTCTCCTGTTCTTTTATTTGCGGATGTTTTTGTCTCCCCATTTTTAATTTTTTGTTGGTGTTGTTAATACTCACCCAAGGATATTTTTTCCACTAATTTTTAGAGAGAGTGGAAGGGAGTGGGGTAGGGGAAGAGAGAGAGAGAAAAGCACCATTGTGTGAGAGAGAGAGAGAGAGAGAGAGAGAGAGAGAGAGAGAGAGAGAGAGAGAGACATCAATTGGTTGCCTCCCACCTGTGCTCCTAATGGGGCCAGGATTGAACCTGTAACCCAGGTACATGCCCTTGACCAGGAATCAAACCCACAACCCTTTAGTGTGTGAGCTGATGCTCTAACCATTTAGCAATGCTGGCAGGTTTGTCTCCCCATTTTGGCTGCCTCTCTGTATTTTTTTCTATGCATTAGGCAGGTCTGCTATTACTCCCAGTCTTGGTATGGCGGTCTTATGTAGTAGTTGTCCTGAGGGACTCAGTCACACAGTCTCCCTTATAACCTGAGCAAGGTGCTCTATGAATGTTCCTTGTGTGGGTTATATAAGCTATCCTATTGTAGTTGAGTTTTTATTGCTCTTGGCCCCTCTATGTATAGACTTGAACCTCAGGCTGGCTGACTGTGAGAATTAATCTCAACCATAGAGTATGAGATGCTGTCTGGGTACTAACCACATTAAATGGAATTCACCCCAGCAGGATCTGCTGCCTTCTGAGGCCTCCCTTTGAATATGATGCTTTTGGATCCTGCTCTGATGTGGTCTGAAGCCCACCACTGGATGTGTTTCTTCTGGGACATCTTGGGAGGGACTCTGGTGCATGTCAATGTCAGATGCTTGCCCTGGGTTACTTGTTTGGAGCAACAAAGCAATCCACCATTTGTGGTTGCCTCTGTTGGGCCTGGGTGTGCATAGGAGGGGTCAAGATGTGCACCAAACCTGGCTTCCAACATCACCAAGCCCAGGAACAGGTCAGCAAAAGGCCTACCCTACGACATGCCAAGATCTGCTTCCACTGCCTCTGCATTCTAGCTGCCTGTGAGGTTCAGTCACTGAAAGAGCTTCTGGCAGTATGGGACCTGCATGAAGAAGGTTCTCAGTGATTCATCAAGCACCCACTCTGATGATTTTCATGTGATGCTGGTGGGCAAAGAAAAGTGAAGTTGTGCTGCCTCCAGGGGATAATTTTGTCCTTCCCATACCTTCCCTCTGATATCAACCTCTTATTTTAAAAATATTTTTATTGATTTCAGAGAGGAAAGGAATGGGAGAGAGAGATAGGCACATCAACGATGAGAGAGAATCATTAATCAGCTGCCTCTTGCACACCCCAAACTGGGGATGGAGCCTGTAACTCAGGCATAGGCCCTGACCGGGAATCGAACTGTGAACTTCTGGTTCCAAGGTTAATGTTCAGCCACTGAGCCATGCCAACTGATTGTTAATTAATTTTAATTAACACTTTTCTATATGCCAGGCAGTTGTCTGGGTGCAAGTAATACCACAATGCATGGGTCCTGGCCTCTCGTAATGGGAGCACTTAGTTATGGACTGGTTCTTTAAGGGATGTCCCAATATGCTTCACCTGTGTGCCAAATTTATTGAAAAACATAACAATCTCCATACCTCCCTACATCCATTCTCTCCACAATGTCACTTTGAGGCTCCTCCCATCAGAAGCTGTTCTATTTCCTGACTCCTAGAAGTGGGGCTGCCTTGTGATTTTGGCCAACAGGAGTTAACAGAAGTGATGCTTCAGTTCCAAAACTAAGACTGCAGAGTCCTTGCACGCTCCCAGTTACTCTTTGGAACCCTGCCCAAAGGCATAATGCCAATCAGCCCAGGCTAGCCTAAAATGGCCCAGTCACCCGCATTGTCCCAGAACTTAGTCAGCCAAATGTCAGACATGGAAGTGAGGCTGTCCTAGACCAGCTCCCAATCAGCCCACCAGCTGGCCTCAAATGCATGAATGAGACCAGCTAACGCAGTGGTTCTCAACCTGTGGGATGTGACCCTTTTGGGGGTTGAATGACCCTTTCAGAGGAGTTACCTAAGATATCCTGCATATCAGATATTTATGATTCATAACAGTATCAAAATTACAGTTATGAAGTAGCAATGGAAATAATTTTATGGCTGGGGGTCACCACAACATGAGGAACTGCATTAAAGGGTCATGGCATTAGCAAGATTGAGAACCACTGAGCTAAGGTGAGTCAAGTCTTGCCAGACCAAAAACACCCAGCTGATCTATAGACTCATTGGCTATAACAGATAGTTATTGTTTTAAGCTGCTAATTGGGGTAGATTGTTAACAATAGCTAACCACTACAATTGGGGGTGTTATCTGCTTCTCCTAACAACTTTGGGATATTCAAAAAAGTTAAGAGTCATCTTTCCTTATCACCCTAAGATTAAACAGCTTTTAAGTGACAGAAAATAATGTAACTCAATCTATAGGAAAGAAAATGCTCTATTCATTATAACATAGGACTTTCCAAGGCCTCACCTACCTTCCTCATTCTGTTATTTTATGGTTGCTAAAAATTAGTCTTTGTGAAATGCATAAGGTTCCACAAAAGAGTATATACTGTGTGGTTTCATTTATATGAAATTCTGGGAGATTTTTGGGGGTGAAGGAAATTTTCTACACCTTGTTGGAGTGGTAGTTACCTAGGTATTTATATTTGTCAAAAGTCATCTCTACTCTTTCAAGGAGTTCATTTTACTGCGTAAGAATTGTATCTCAATAAAGTTTACTTTTAAGGTTACAAATTTTATAGGGAAAGGGAACTCTTTTTTTAAAAATATATTTTATTGATTTTTTACAGAGAGGAAGAGAGAGGGATAGTCAGAAACATCGATGAGAGAGAAACATCGATTAGCTGCCTCTTGCACAGCCCCAACTGGGGATGTCCCCGTAACCAGGGTACATGCCCTTGACTGGAATCAAACCTGGGACTTTTCAGTCCCCAAGCTGATACTCTATCCACTGAGCCAAATCAGTTTCGGAAAAAGGGAACTCTTATATACTACAGGTGGAAATGTAAATTGGTGCAACCACTATGGAAAATAATATGGAGCTATCTGCAAAAATTAAAAATAGAACTACCAAGTGATCAAACAATCCCACTTTTGGGAATATATGCAAGTGAAATGAAAATGGTATATCTGCATCCCACGTTCATTGCAGTATTATTAACAATAGCCTAGATATGGGAACACTTAAGTGTTCATCAATGGATGAATAGAGAAGATGTGGTACATATGAGCAATGAAACATTATTAAGTCACCAGTAGAAGGAAATCCTGCCATTTGCCACAACATGAATGGATTTTGAGGGCATTATACCAAGTGAAATAAGCCAGACCAAGAAAGGCAAATACTGCATGGCATCACTTATAAGTGGAATCTGAAAATATCAAATTCATAGTAAGAAATAGTAGAAAAGTGGTTGCCTGGGTGGTGGGGGTATAAAATATGGAAAGGTTGGTAAAAGGGTACAAATTTTCAGTTATAAAATGAATAGGTCTGAGGATCTAATGTAAGACATGGTGACTATAGTTGATGACACTGTATATAGTTGATAAACACTATATAGTATAAGTGTACTTTGCTAAGAAAATAGAACTTAAGTATTCGTACAAAAAAGATAAATATGTGAGATTATATATGTGTTCATTAACTAGATGGGATCTTTCCTTTACTATATATATATGATCACCACCATGTATACTTAAGTAACTTAAAGTTTTATATGTCAATTATACCTCAATAAAGCTGAAATTTAATTTTTAAAATATATTTTATTAATTTTTTTTACAGAGAGGAAGGGAGAGAGATAGAAAGTTAGAAACATCGATGAGGGAGAAACATCAATCAGCCGCCTCCTACATACCCCCTACTGGGGATGTGACCACATCCACGGTACATTCCTCTAACCGAAATCGAACCTGGGACCTATCAATCCGCAATCCGACGCTCTATCCACTGAGCCAAACTGGTTAGGACTGAAATTTAATTTTTAAAAGCACCTTAGGAACTCTATATAATCTTTGAAAGTTAAGGAGAAATTCAAAATGATGGCAATGCTCCAATCTCCCAGAGCTTGTTTCTCTCCCACAGAGATCTTATTAGGGGTGTCTGGGGAAGACTCTCTCCCCCATCCCTGCCATTTCCATGGCTCAATGGTCCACAGGAAACAGCTCTAAGGAACACTCCTATCTGGACTTGCTAATGCTGGCCTCACAGGTCCAGCGGTAGAGCCTCTGGCAGACGTCGTCATTCCATTTGCCATCCGGGTGGAAGTGGGCACAGTCCTCACCTCCACCGAGCCCGTGCCCCTGCCAGTCGTCTGGCTGTCCTGGCTTCCAGTTCCTGAGGGGGAAGGACACGGCAAGTTGGGAAAGTCATATGGAGCAGAGTAAGGGCTGAGGAGAAGAGGCTGTAGGTCAGATCCTGGAGGAGTAGAACTGAAAGGGGAGGAAGAGCACAGGAAGCAAGAGTACTCACTTGAAGTTGGTCTCATAGTCTGTTCCATCCACCCATTTCCAGGCTCCTTCACGGTCGCTGAGGCCCATCCAGGTGTAGGAGGAGCCTATGTGTGCCTGGACAAAAAACTGGGACGACAGAATGACAACAATGTCTTCTCCCCATCCCAACCGATTCCTTGGACTAGGAGTTCTAAACGTTACATGTACGTTATATCAGCTGAGGAGATTTAGGATGTTTATCCCAATGCCCAGGCCAATTTCTGTCACGCTCTGCTTCAGTAACAGAGACTGGTGATTCCATCACTGTGCGAACATCATAGAGTGCACTTAACAACCTGGGAGGGGCTAGCCTACTGCACACCTTGGCTGTAGCCTATTGCTCCTGGGCTATCAGTCTATATGGTGTGTTACTCTACAAAACCACAAGAGATGATAAAAATCAAACACAAGAAGAAAGGATACACAAAAGGGGTACAGTAAACACGGGTGTATGATATGAGGCTCCTGGCAGCAAAACACAGCATACGGTTAAACAACAAACTCTTTTTATAAGTAGAAAGAATACACTCTAACATAATAATAGTATTTATATATATAAAACTCTATGCAACCGGTTGACAGAACAACCAAACAGCCAGCCGGTCACTATTTCACACACTGACCTCCAGGGGGCAGATGCTCAATGAAGGAGCTGCCCTCTGGTGGTCAGTGTGCCCCCAAAGTGTGAGTGCCACTCAGCTGACCGACAGGAGCCGGACACTGGGCTCATGACTGGTGAGCACAGCTGCAGCAGTGCTACCAAGCAGCAGCAGGCACAGCGGGTCTAGGATGAGTGGAGCAGTGCAGAGCCCAGCCTGGATTTAGGCTCCTCCCCAGCTGCCAGCCACTTCACACACTACTACATCCCCGGAGGGGTCCCAGATTGCAGGAGGGCACAGGCCAGGCCAGGCTGAGGGACCCCACCAGTCCACAAATCTGTGCACTGGGCCTCTAGTAGTATTATCCTACATAATAAAAGAGAAACATGTAAATTGACCATACCTCCGCTACACTCACCAGCCAATCAGGAGTGGGTATGCAAATTAACCCAACAAAGATGGTGGTTGATTTGCATACACAGGTACTGGGCAGAGAGCAGAGAGGGAGAGTTGGCGGCTTGGAGGACTTGGCAGAGTGGGAGACCATGGGCCAGAGACAGAGCAGGAAGGGAAAACCAAGAGCAGGGGGAGCACAAGGAATGCTGGGAATTGTAGTTTTGGTGGCAGATGGATATCCTAGTAGGATATCATGTGTCAAACCCAAGGCCCGCGGGCCAAATCCGTCCCGCCAGGCCTTGCAATGTGGCCCGCACCGCGCTGTCATTACTGCACTCCGCTGCGTTTCCATCACAATGACAGTTTATGACAGTTCAGTAAACCATTCGGCCCGCGATTTAGGCTGGATTTTAGATTTTGGCCCCTTCTCTGATTGAGTTCGACACCCCTATCCTAGACACTAGAGCAAAGTGAGTCTGGAGCAAGTTATGGTTGTGGTGAGGGATGGAGGGAAAGCAAAGGTGAGAGACATAAGTAAAGTCAGAGTGTCTGGGAAAAATTAAAGGGAAGATATCCTAAAACTTCCAGGAATCTCCACCAATGAAGCAAAGGGGGGGAAATGCCTCTATTATTCTGTGAGCAACAAACCAAACTGGGTTGGGGTCTCAGACAATTCACTCATATGATTGCAAAGACAGACAGAAACTCCTAGATTGGAGAGGGTGCAGGTGGGGCTGAGGGACCCACTCCCCCCCCCACCCCACCCCCGTGCACAAATCTTTGTGCACCAGGCCTCTAGTAAATGCATAAACCAGAAACAGTTGTTTATTACCATTTTCAAGTACACTGTCCTGTGCATAACTGTAAGTGCTGGGCTTTTATACATATGGCTGGCAATGAGGTAGGTCTGTTCACACCAGCATCAGCACACACACACCTGAGCAATGTGCTGCACTACCCACTGCCCACTAGGTGAAAGGAATTTTTTGGCTCTAGTCTAATCTTATGAGATGACTGTTCTCTCTTTGGTCTGTCCTTGCTGACATGTCACTGTGTGGCCCATGATTATAAATCCCTCAGGGTGTGGCTCACATCCCCATGGTTTTAAAGCTCCCTGGTGATGCCCATGTGCAGCAAGAGCGAAGAACCATTTCTTTAGCGGGGCCAGTTCTCGGGACCTGAGCCCTCACCTGCTCCTCTCGGGAGTTGATGACAACCAGGTGGGCATTCTCCAGCTGACAGTACTTCTCAGCCTCGGTCCAGGGCTTCCCAGAACTGGAGAACCAGTAGCAGCTGCCTCCATACTCCAGCCAGCCAACAGGGCAGCAGGCATTTTGAGAGTCTGAAATGGAAAGAGAGGAGGATCTGATGTGCTGCCAGATATGAGCAAGATATGGGGCCAGGCGCTGCCTCACACACCACTCACCATTGCTCTGGAGCGCAGCCATCTGACAGTGCAGGGTGTGCAGGTCTTTGACCAGCTGCTGGACTCTCAGGAGCATTTCAGAATAACCTGAGACACACAGAGGACAGTGGGGACAATGCAGGGGCCCCGCTGAGGGCCCCCCATGCCCTCCCACCACATCAGGCCTAGGGACAGGGAGAAGGGGCCTGACCTGCTTGGAGTTGCTGCTGCTCCTTCTCCAGCTTGCTCTCCAGAGAAAACACCTTGTCATTCAAGCTGCGGGCTGGAGGGGAGGGCACTCAACACCCTGGCTGCTCCCACCCCACCTCTGTCCTGAGAGCCCAGCCCCCACCCTTGCACACTCACTCCTGGAGAAGCCTCTCACCTGCCTGCAATTCCTGCTCCTGGTTTTCCACCACAGCTTTCAGAGATGTTATTGCTGCTTGTAAACTGCCACCTGGAGGACATGGAGGCTCAGTGTTTAGGATTGAGCTCCCCTCTTTCCCACCATGACCCCTCCCATCCAGAGCCCCTTCCAGCCAGGCTCACCCTGGGAGTGCAGTGCCTGGACCTCAGCCACCATGTTGGAAGTGAAGTTGCTGAAAGTTGTTCTCAGGGTCTCCACATCACTCTGAATCTTGGCACCTGATCAGACAGGTGGGACCACGAGTGCTAAGCTTGGTCAGTCCTCTCTGCGCTGGCACTGAGCAGGGCACTGGACATACATTGGCTCATTGGGTCCTCACAGCCACCCGACTTAAAGGGACAGGCTCTGTTGTTATCCAAGCTTGTAGAGGAGGACACTCAGGCACTTGGACTACATTACCCATGAGTAAGTAACAGAGCACATTTCTAACCCCAAATAACCAGATGGCAGGGCCAGTGACCAGCCATCTTTATCCACCATGACCATCATCAGTGCCTGGATTACCGAACCCACTATTGCCCCCATCCCTGCTTGTCCCGTGACACTCACTTTTGGACCCAATCACAATGATGCCAATCATCAGGAGAAGGATGAGGCCCAGAGTGAGCAGAAGGGGGCAGGGTCCAGAGCAGAAATGCTGCAGGAAGGCTGGGAGAGGAGGCAGCCCTACAAGAGGAGAGGATATCAGGACATGGAGGTTGAGGACAGGAGAGACACAGGGGAGGAGGAGAGGGCCACAGGGACCTGTCAGGGATGAAGGGTGGTGCAGGGAAATCTGGGGAGAGGTTGTGATGCAGGAGGTGCCCAGGCATCTGACCCCTCTTGCAGTCACCTGAGCCCCTCATCCCTATGTCAACACGATGGCAATATGTAAGGTCTTATCATCAGGGCTGGGACAGGGGGCAGGAGGACAGAGTGCGCTGGGGCAGCTAGCCCTAGGCAGGCTTGTGCGTATCTGTTTTGTCAGGTTAGCCAACGTTTTTTTCCCAAACATGACTATTCACCCTCCCAGTATAAATGCTCATGACCTTCCCCAGAGTATAGCAGGGCTGCGTTGGTGCACCCTAATCCTGTCCTTCAGAGGATTGTGAATCCTCTTTATACTGGAACCCCCTGAGTGGGGGACCCTACAGTGTACACGGTAGAGGTGCAGATATACCCAGATATACTGTGACAGCACTGATCCTTCTAAACACATTAACAAAAGTATTTTAGGAGACACCATTACTTTTCCTCTTACCATTTCTAGAACCCTGGCTTTTCTTCTCACTCTCCAAGGACTGGAGATCTTCATATTTCATCGACATCCTTGGACCAACTCTGAAATGGAGACAGGGCCAGAGACCAGGCTAGGGATGGAGTTAGGGGATGGGGGAGGTTGGAGCTGAAGTCAGGGCTGATGTTGAGGTGAGAGAAGTCCGGGTTGAGGATGAGCCAAGGGTTAGGGAGAGGAATGGGAATGGGCCTGGGTTTGCAGCAGAGGTTGGAAGTGGGGTCAGGACTGGTCTTTGGGCTGGGCTTGGGTTGAACGTGCGAATGAAGGTGACGGTAAAGTTGGAGCTGAATATGTGACTAGGATTGGGTCTAAAATCGGGGATGCAATTGAGTTTGCATCTCTTCCTTTGATCAGGGTCAACACTTCAGCTTGGCCCTGAAGTTGGAAACAGAAGAGAGTTAATTTGGGGCTTTTGTTAAGACTCATGTTGACTTGGGAGTTGAAGCTGTTTGGGGGTTAAAGAAGATGATGGTATTTCTAATGGGGTTAGTACTGAGGCTAGGTGGGGGCCAAATATGGGACTGGAGATGGGGCTGAGTGAGCCTCTGCTTGTGACCGAGGTTTGGCTGCCATATTTCAACCCAAATCCAGTTAAGTGAATAGAGTCTAAAATTTCCACTTGGCCATTAAATCTCCAAGCTGTCTTTTTATATCTCTTCCTATTCAGTCTCTCCTGAGACCCACAGCCCTATCTCCCTGCTTTTTCTAACTCCCTCCCTGTCCCCTTGGTCCCACCTGCATCCCCAACCCAGTTACCTGTGCAAAATCCGAAGGCTGTGATTCTTGGGGTTGCCCTGCAGCAATGAGCAAAGTTGAACAAGATGAAATCCTGGAGAGTGGAGTGGAGGTCCCTGGGGGAGGAATTGGATAAGTGACTGGAGTCCTGCTGGTCTCTGTGTCTGAAAGCCCAGGAGTCTATAATCTGGAATCTCTCATTTCCTTGACTTTGAGAGGTAAATAATAATCAAATCACAGGCTGAAACTGTGTGTTTGGAGTGATAGATATCAAGCCAGCTCTGCTCTCCTCCTCCAGGGTGTGTCTCCTCCCTTTTTGCTTCCTTTCAGCCTTTCTAACTTCCTCATTTCTTTCATTTGGGAAATGAGTCCTGACCAGAGTGGATAAGAGGTACAGTCTAATCCTCTGCCCATGCACTCTTTCACTTCTGGCATCAGGATTTTCCTTAGTGGATAATGTCTCCACCATTGCACACCCAGATCCAGAAGATCCTTTTTCTCAGTTCTTTCTCAATTATAATCCAAGTCCCTAGCATCTGAGCTTCCTCTGGGGCCTGAGCCACCAAGCTCCCCCAGTTCTGGCCTAGCTCTGCTCACTCTTCTAAGAAGGAGGAAAGAGGGTGAAGAAAGTAGGATCCCTGGCCAGATTGGGACAGGAGGATCTGTGCACATGAACAAATTTCATAAGGCCCTGCCCTCATAAAACTTGCAAATAAACAAAATAAATTAGCAATATTTTTTTTGAGGAAAATATAGCAGGGAAGTGAGAGACAGGGTCAGTACTTTATAAAATATAATTTAATGATTTTTAAAAAATATTTTTTATTGATTTTTTACAGAGAGGAAGGGAGAGAGATAGAGAGCTAGAAACGTCAATGAGAGAGAAACAACGACCAGCTGCCACTTGCACACCCCCTACTTGGGATGTGGTCGCAACCAAGGTACATGCCCTTGCCCAGAATCGAACCTGGGACCCAAACCAGTTAGGGCAGGGTGTCAGTATTTAATAGGCCATCAAGAAGAGGATGGCAAGCCCTAGCCGGTTTGGCTCAATGGATAGAGCATTGGCCTGCAGAATAGAAGATCCCAGATTCGATTTCAGCCAAGGGTGCATGCATGGGTTGCTGTTTTCATCCCTCCCCAGTAGGAGTCATGCAGGAGGCAACTGAGCAATGATTCTCCCTCATCATTGATGTTTCTATCTCTCTCCCTTCCTCTCTGAAATAAAATTTTAAAAAATATTTTAAAGGGACCTTTCTTTTTAAAAAGAAAGGAGGAGAAAGAGGAGGAGGAGAATGAGGAGGAGGAGGAGGAGGAGGAGGAGGAGGAGGAGGAGGAGGAGGAGGAGGAGAAGGAGAAGAAGAAGAAGAAGAAGAAGAAGAAGAAGAAGAAGAAGAAGAAGAAGAAGAAGAAGAAGAAGAAGGCAAGAAAGGCCTTTCTGGGAAGATGGTATCTGAGCAAAAATCTGAAGGAGGTGAAGGAGTGAGTCATGTTTAGCTCCAGGCTCGGCCAAAGTGGCTCAGTGGTTGAGCATCAGCCTATGAACTAAAAGGTCATGGTTCGATTCCTGGTCAGGACACATGACCAAGTTTCAGGCTCCATCCCCAGTAGAGAGTGTGCAGGAGGCAGACAATCAATGATTCTCTCTCATCATTGATGCTTCTATCTCTCTCTCCCTCTCCCTTCCTCTCTCAAATCAATTTTAAAATATTTTTTTAAAGAGAGAAGGGGAAAAAGAAAAAAAAGAAAAAAAGAAAAAAAAAACTAAAAGAGAGAAGGGAGGGATAATGTCCCAGACACATGGCACCACAAAGCGCAAAGGCCCTGGAATGAGAGACTATCTAGTGTGTGCAGGGATCAGTCCAAAACTGGCTCTCTGACATCCCCCGAGGGGTCCCGGATTGCAAGGTTCTCAGTGATGCACCCCAGAATCAGTCTCCCTCCTCTCTGGTTTCAGGTGTGTCACAAAGAACCGCAGCTGCCAAGTCAATGCAGCTCGGCAGCTCCTGCATTGAGTGTCTGCCCCCTGGTGGTCAGTGCGCATCATAGCTACTGGTTGGCCAATTCCTTAGGCATATATATACACACACACACACACACACACACACACACACACACACACACACTAGAGGCCTGGTGCACAAAATTCATGCACAGGGTGGGTGTGTTCTTTAGCCTAGCATGCACCCTCTCCAATCTGGTACCCCTCAAGGGATGTCCAACTTCCCATTTAGGCCCAATTTAGGCCCCCAATCCAGACCTGCTGGCTCCCAACTGTTCGCCTGCCTGTCTTCCTGGTTACCCCTAACTGCTTCTGCCGGCCACCCTGGTCACCCCCTAAACACTCCCTGCCAGCCTGATTGATGCATAACTGCTCCCCTGCCAGCTTGATTGCCCCCAACTGCCCTCCCCTGCAGGCCCAGTTGCCCCCAACTTCCCTCCTCTGCTGGTCTGGTTACCCCTAACTTCTCTCCCCTGCAGGTTTAACTGCCATCCCTTGCAGGCCTGGTCCCTCCCAACTGCCCTCCCCTGCTGGCCATCTTGTGGTGGCCATCTTGTGTCCACATGGGGGCATCCATCTTGTGTATTGCAGTGACAGTCAATTTGCATATTACTCTTTTATTAGATAGGATAGAGGCCTGGTGCACAGGTGAGGACTAGCCGGATTGCCCTGAAGGGTATGCTGGATAAGGGTGGGGGTTTCCTTGGGGTGAGGGCAGGCTGCGTGCCACCCTCCCCCCATTCCCCCACCCCCGCTCCAGCAACCCAAGCGGAAGCCCTGGTATCTGGGATTTATTTATCTTCTATAATTGAAACTTTGTAGCCTTGAGCAGAGGCCAGGGCTGGCCAGAGCAGGCAGGAAGCTTGGCTTCCTCCATTGCCAGGGAAAACCAAGCCTCCTGCTCACTCCGTGACCGTAGCCATCTTGGTTGGGTTAATTTGCATACTCGCTCCTGATTGTCTGGTGGGCATGGCTGGTAGGCGTAGCAGAGTTACAGTCAATTTGCATGTTTCTCTTTTATTAGTGTAGATACATAGTGACTCTTTTTTCCCTAGTAATGAATTTTGCCTTGAAGTCAATTTTTTTAAATCCTCACCCAAGGATATTTTTCCATTGGTTTTTAGAGAGAGTTGAAGGGATGGGGAGAGACAGAGAGAGAGAAACATCAATGTGAGAGAAACACAGCAATTGGTGCCTCCTGCACATGCCCCAACCAGAGCCGGAAGATCCAGCCTACAACAAAGCTACGTGCCTTGACCAGAATGGAGCCCAAGACCTTTCATCCTGCAGACCGATGCTCTATTCACTGAACCAAACTGACAGGGCTATCATTTTATGTTTTGATCTACCATATTTTCTTACCTTTTTTCTGACTTTGACAGATTGTTGTTGTTTTTACATTTCCTTTCTTCTAATGGTTTAGAAATTTTCTTGCTTCTATTTTTCAGTGTTTACCTTCAACATTTTCTCACTGGGTATCTTTTATTGTCTCATTGAATAGTAATGTTATTTTATCCTGTTCCAAAAAAGTTAATTGGCATTCAGGTCACACTTGCATTATTTTTATATATAATTTCTCTGACATTTATAGAGCATAAATGCCACCCGAAAACAGCAGAATACACATTAATTTTAAGTATTACATTGAAATGTAGTGGCAACCATACTTTGGTAAAAACTGTTTGGATTTTAACCCTTCTAGTTTGGCTCCTGCACCTGATTAAAACACTGGGTACTTACCTCAGCTTCCAGGTGGAGACCTGGAGGCTAAGGCAATTTTTCCTTGCCTGGGACCAGATTGATTCCCACTGACTCAGTAGCTTCAGGGATAGAAACTGTAGATAGCCTTTAGAGACTAACAGCTGAGCTCTACTTCTGTATTATCGGCTATTGCAAGATAGGGCCACATTCCAATGTCCAGCAGGATGTGACTGGGAACCAACCCTGCAGGCAGTCCCCAATCTTTAGGATTTAGAAACAAAGGAAAATTCTCGCGGTTTAGGCCTTTAAAAACACTTGCCTACACCTGGAACACTGCAGTCGTATGGAGTCCATCTGTGTGTGGTGCTCTTACGGCTGTCCTGGCCAGTTTTTATTTCAATAAATTCTTGCCTGCTTTTTTAATTAATCATCAACCTCCGGTGGTCTTATTTTGAACCCAGGGTTTGACCCCACAACAACATAGAACTTACTTGAAGATATATCATATCGTGGATCATACAACAAACTTTAACAAATGTAAACAAATTGAAATTGTATAACTTATGTACTCAGATCATAACAGAATTCAACTAGAAATCAATAACAGCAATGTAATTTTAAAAAATCACCGTAACCCAAAAATTAAGCAACATGTTTCTAAATAATCCGTGGATCAAAGACAAAGTCTCAAGAGAAACTAGGAACTAATTTTGAACTCAACTACAATTAAAATACATATCAAATTTGTTTAAAAAAAAAAAAAAGGAAATACAAGGTAGAGAGGCCTGTGATCTGGGGCTATGGTGGTGATCAAGATGTTCTTCACATCAGGCGTCTAATGCCAGTCTCTCATTGGGTCCTTTGGTTCCTTTGAGACACCCCTATGGGACCCTCCCATGGAAATCCCTTATGAGGAATATGAACTCTCTGGCTTTTCTCTGTAGTGGTCACCATGGGCTCCTGCCCTGTATGGCAGCTGTACACCCACAGTCTCTTTCAGCCTCACTCTGCCACACAGTCCTCTTGGGCAGGATCCTTCCTATATGGCTCCAGCCTGACATCCATGGAGTCCATGAGGCTTCCTTGTCCTGGCAGACGGCCAAGTATAGCCTGATCTGCTGATGCATGTGACAGCTCCAGCCCAGGATGACAACTGAAATTTCCTTGAAATATAATCTCCGTAACTCCCTCCTCTCTTACAGAGGCTGGGAAGCGTGGTGGTTGCTTGTTTCCCCCCTGCCTACATGTGTTCAACGCCTGTTTTAATGGATGGGCACTTGCCAACAATCATTTTCAGCTTCAGGAACCCATCCAAATTTCTATGAAAACAGGAAAAGAGTCATTAACTTCCTATTTTATGTAGTTGTCACTTTTCTGTTCCTTAATTGAGATGGCCAAGATTGTATTTATCACATTACTCTTTTTGGAAAATAAATCTCTGTTAAGAAGATAGAAAGACAAGCTGCACACTTGGAGAAAATATTTGCAAACTACATAGCCAACAGAAAACTGATATCAAGATTATATAAGGAATTCTCAAAAGTCAACAGAAAAAAAAAAAAACACAAAACACACAAATAATTGTGGGATCCCATATCACTCCAGAGTCCGGTTTCTGGAGAAGGCTGCACACAAATGAAAAGAGACTGAAAAAGAGTTAATTTGGGGAAATGGGGGGCCAGGAGGGTGACCACCTCTAGAGGGAGGCCCACCCCTGCTCTGGCTTTGCTATCCCTTTTTATTGAGGCTGTGGGAAACACTCATATCCTTTAGGCAGGAAATTCCAATAATAGACAATCAGCAAGAATTGACATTATGATTAACAGGTGGAGGTTGTTTTAACTACCAAAATCTCACCTAAACAATGAGTTAATGGCTCCGACCATTCAGAGCGATTAAGGTTGGCCTTTTCACATTTAACTACTAGTGACAATGTTAGGTTTCTGGCAATAATCCAGTTAGAAAATTGACACACATACACACACACACACACACACACACACACACGAAGAGACATTTCTTCAAAGAGAATTACACATGGAAAATAAGCACGTGAGCCTGGCTGGCGTGGCTCAGGGGTTGAGCATCAACCTATGAACCAGGAGGTCATGGTTTGATTCCCCATCAGGACACATGCTCATGTTTCTGGCTTGATCCCCAGTGGGCAGGAGGCAGCCAATCAGTTATTCTCTCGCATCATTAATATTTCTCTCTCTTTCTCTCCTCCCTTCCTCTCTGAAATCAATAAAAATATATTTAAAACAAGAAAATAAGCACAAGAAAATTGTACAAATTATTTGCCATCAGGGAAATGCAAATTAAAACCATGGTAATTGGGGGTGGGGGGGTGAGAAGGGTATTGGGGGAATAAGGACACATATGTAACACTTTAATCAATAAAGAAATTTAAAAAACAATACCATGATATTATTTCATTACACACTCACCAGATGGCTAAAATTTTTAAATAGTGTTAGCAACCAAATGCAGGTGAAGATATGAGCAATCTGGATTATTCATACACTGGAGATCCTCCTATATAATAAAATGCTAATATGCAAATCAACCCAACAGTGAAGTGACCAGTCACTATGATACTCCCTGACCACCAGGGGGCAGATGCTCAACACAGGAGCTGCCCCCTGTGGTCAGTGCACTCCCCCAGGGGGAGCACTGCTCAGCCAGAGGCCGGCTCACAGCTGGCGAGCACAGCAGTGGTGGCGGAAGCCTCTTTAGATTCTGCAGCAGCGCTAAGGATTCTGACTGACAGCTTAGGCCCGAAGCAGGCCTAAGCCATCAGTCAGACATCATCCCCCGAGAGCTACAGATCTGTGAGAGGGCACAGGCCAGGCTGAGGGACACCCGCCCCCCCCCCCCCCATGAAGGACCTGACAGCAGTTCATTATTTGGAGTTCATTACCACCAAACCAGTATTATATGAAAATGCTGAAGGGTATTCTTTAAAAAGAGGAAGAAGAAGAAAAAGGTAAAGATAAAATTATGAACAACAAAATGACAACAAATACGTATTTATCAACAAGTGAATCTAAAAATCAAGTAAATAAAAATCTGATGAACAGAATAAACTGGTGAATATAATAGAATCAGGGACATAGAACTGGAGTGGACTGACAATTCTTGGGGAGGAGGAGGTGTGGGGAGTTCGGAAAGAGATTGGACAAAAATCTTAACACCTATGGGCAAGGAGAGGGAGTGGGCGGTAAGGGCATGAGGTAAGGGGGAACCGGGTGGAGGGGAGCTATGGGAGGGGGGAACAACTGTTATAATCTGAACAATAGATTTTTTCTTAATGCCAATTCCTTATATGGCACAGGGAATGATTAACCATAGGGCACATCCGTATTTTGGAATTCTCCACCCTTGCTGAGTTCCACGGGAATAGCAAGGGTTGGATCAAAGCCCACAGGCACAGGGAAGTGGGAAAAGCCCTGCGCAGTGCAGTGCGGTATTGCAAATGTGCACATACGCAGGCCACACCCAACAGGAAAACTCTTATGTCCACAGGGTGCCGGGAAGCAGGGTCAGTCCCATGTGGGTGTGTCTGGGAGGGCATTTTCCAGGAGAGGAGCATTTGAATTGGGAAAGCAGAGTGCTCTCCCCAAGAGGGAGGCTTCACCCCACCAGCTGAAGCCCTGCACGAACCAGAAGGCCGAGCCCCCGCCAGTCCCAGAGAGTCCTTCCTGCCTGACCCCTCCACACGGGAACACTGGCCTCTTCCTGCCTTTGGACTCAGGGAAACATCGCCCCCCACCCCCGGTGTTGGGCCTGCTGCCTGGGTCACTCTGCCACCCATGGGCTCCCTGGGCCTCCAGCTGCCTGCTCCCCACAGGTCTTGTCAGCCTCCGTAATCACAGGAGCCAATTCCCTGTAATAAACCCGTGTGTGTGTGTGTGTGTGTGTGTGTGTGTGTGTGTTTAAAACATTTTTCACTAACTGTATATAGTATTTTTGTAATAAGAATAAAAGAAAAAAATTCGTTGCTTAGGCCCTTCTAAGACTGGCTTTAGGATGGTCTGGGAGGATGAAGCTGCCCACTGCGGACATGGCGGGGACACCTGAGCTGGACGCCGTCTGCATCTGTCTGGGTCAGAAAGAGGCTGCCACGCTGAGCACAGCAGGAAAGTGTTGCCCCAACGCCCCCCTCTCAGCAAACGTTCTCCAGCGCCTTGCGGCCACACCACAGCTCCCGGGCTGAGGGAAGTGGGGGGCCCTGAAGCCTCTTCTGGGGGAGACCCCAGTGCGGGCAAGTGCTTCCTCCAGGAGCCCCTCAGGCTGTGGGCAGCCCCTCCGGCCGGCCCGCCAGCTCCTCCCCGCGCCCCCAGCCCCAGGCCTTCCTTCCACTGAATGCCACTGCTCCAGGCTCTCCCCTCCCCTCCCTGATCCGGGTCCCTCAGAATGGGGACCCGGGAGCCCCTGTCTGGGGCTAAACTTTCTCCCAGACGCTCTGCGCTCCCCCTTCTTTGCACCCTGCACGTCCCAGTTCCCAATAACCAGTCCACACGGAGTGTCAGCATTGGTTTCTCTTTTCCTGCTCCACCGAGGAGGCCGGAGGTGACAACCCTCCCAGTGAGCGGCAGAAGGAGGCGGGATCTGTGCCCCTGGGGTCTGAGATCCTTTTTACTTTTTAATTTTTTAATTTTATTTTATTGATTTTTTACAGAGATGGCTAAAGAGTCAGAAACATTGATGAGAGAGAATCATCGATCAGCTGCCTCTTGCACACCCACTACTGGGGATGTGCTCGCAACCAAGGTACATGCCCTTGACCGGAATCGAACCTGGGACCTTTCAGTCTGCAGGCCGAAGCTCTATCCACTGAGCCAAACCGGTTTTGGCGGGACTGAGATTCTTAAACCACTTTGCTCTCTCTCTTCCCTCAACCCCTCCCGACTATCTTTCCTTCCTTCCAAATCCCCGTAGAGAAGCGGGGAGAGGGTGGGGGTGGGGTGGGGGTGAAGGTCTGCGGGGCCGGCTCCTAGCCCGTGCTGTTGCGCGCCATCTCGCACGCCCAGCGGTGCAGCTGCAGGCAGAAGTCGTCGTTCCAGCGCCCGTCCTCCCGGACCGCGGCGCAGTCTTCACTTCCGCCCTCCTCGTGCCCCTGCCAGTCGTTGGGTTCACCGAAGGCCCAGTTCCTAGGAGTGCAGGGCAGAGCTCAGGCTCGGACCACCCCAGCCCAGCACCCCTCGCCCACCTCAGGAAAGCACAGCCGTGCCCAGCCGTGTGGCCGTAGGAACCACACTGAGCATCGGCCTGTGAGCCGGAAGGTCGCGGTTTGATCCCCGGGCAGGGCCCATGCCCAGGTTTCAGGCTGGGTGCCCAGTGTAGGACTGGCAGGAAACAGCCGATCAAGGGGTTCTCGTCGTGGATGTGTGTCTATCTCTCTCTCCCTTTCCCTTCCTCTCTGAAATGTAAAACAATAAACAAAGTACAGCCTTGGAGAGTTCAGGGAACAGGAAGGAGCAGGCGGGAGGCTGGAGGGGAGAGGGCTGGGGAACGGAGTCGCTGGGCGGGGGAGGGGGGGGGCACTTACTTGTAGCTTTTGCCATAGTCTGTGCCGTCCACCCACTTCCAGGAGCCATCGCTCTCCGTGAGACCTATCCAGGTGTAAAAGGGGCTCGAGTGCTGAGCGACGAATTTCTGGAAAACAGGAGGAACGGAGGGTCTAGTCCTTGTGCCCTGTGCAGGCCTTAGCTGTGGGCCCCAGCCTGGTCTGTGATAGATCCTCCTTTCCTCCAGGTGATGGACGGACGTAAACCCCACCTGCAGCCAGACCTTCCTGAGCTCTGAACCACCAATCGCCCTGCCAAATACCCTAAGCCCCCGATTCCTAAGTCTCTAGGTCCCTAATCGCCAATCAGCGTGTGCTGAGTGCCCTAAGCCCCATCCCCTGTCCTTAAAGGTGCTTGTACCCCGGCCCTCGCTCTCCTCCGCCCCTCTCTGTGGAAGCAGCCGGCAGGGGTACTCTTCCCTCCAATAAAGCCTGTGTGTGTCCTGCCATCCCGGTCTCCGGCTACCTTCTCTATTTAATCTATCAGTCTGCCCCCAGGTGAAGCACCAGCTCCCAGCACGAGGGCCTCGCTTTTTCCTTGGTAGCCTTAGCCATTGTTTGGAGATAACTGACTGGGCTAACGCGCACGCTGTGTGCTTCATGGGTTTTATTTGATTTAATGCTTCTGACCTCGCGGGGGTTGGTAGAGTCCCAAGAGCCAGTGCAGTGCTGTTTGTGACGCCGCCCCCACCCCACCCCCACTTCATTCTGAATGCCCGGCTGCTGCCTGGACTCCAGTCCTCTCCTTGTCTTCTGCCCACAACCTCAAACCCGGGATCCTGACTCTGGCCCCTGCGCCTGCTGCCCCCACAGACCCTCGGTGTCACCTGCCCCTCAGGGCTCCTGCCTCTGTGTGGCTGTCCTCTCCAGAGGCTCACCGGGCCCTGGGGCCTCCAATGGGACCCACTGCCCGGAGCCGCAGACGGTGCTGCAGGTGCCCCCTGCCCCCGCCACCACCACACCACAACCCAGGCACCAGTGCCCGGGGAAGAGCCAGCCTGTTGGAGTAGGCGGGTCGTGTTTAAGGAGGATCGTCCTGGTAACACTTGCTCAGTCTTTACTATGTGACGGGGATCCCGCCCACTCTGCTCCTCTCGCCCAACTGGCCGCCTCACCCCAGGCAGCCGCAGCGAGAAAGGCTCTCAGTATCTGCCCCCGACCCCGAACCCACCCCCGCGCTCTGCACCCAGTCCTGCCTCTACTAAGTTCATCTTGTCTTGCGTTCTGTCTCCTGACCTGCTCCTCACCCTGCTCCCCTGGCTCCTGCCCCTCTGCCCTAAGCTCCTGGCTGTAAGCCCGCCTCTTAGCTCAGGGCTGCTCCACTGTGACCCGCCCAGCATCCTGCCAGCCTGCGGCTTCTGGGCTCTTCCCCGGGTTAAAAATAAATAAATTAAATTAAAAAAAAAAAACTTTAAATAGTGGCCCTAGCTGGTTTGGCTCAGTGGATAGAACATCAGCCTGCGGACTGAAGGGTCTCAGGTTCGATTCAGTCAAGGGCACGTGCCCAGGTTGCAGGCTGGATTCTCTCTCATCATTGTTGTTACTATCTCTCTCTCCCTCTTCCTTCCTCTCTGGAATCAATAAAAATATCTTAAAACAATAATTAATAATAATAAAGTGCCTGGCCAGTGTTGCTCAGTGGTTGAGCGATGACCTGTGAACGAGGAGGTCATGGTTCAGTTCCCGGTCGGGGCACATGTCTGGGTCGCGGGCTCGATCCCCAGTGTGAGGCGTGCAGGAGGCAGCCAGTCAATGATTCTCTCTCATCACTGATGTTTCCATCTCTCTCTCCATCTCTTTTCCTCTCTGAAATCAATACAAATGTATTTTATTAATAATAATAACAAAGCACCGGGCCCAGGGTCTGCATTCCAGGCGTCACCTGCTCCTCTCTGGAGTTGATGGCCACCAGGTGGGCGTTCTCCAGCTGGCAGTACTTCTGCGCCTCCGGCCAGCTCGATCCGGAGCGAGAAAACCAGTAGCAGCTGCCGGCGTGCTCCAGCCAGCCGATGGGGCAGCACTCCGTGCCTGCGGCCGGGCGGGCGGGGTGAGTCCGCGGAGGGACAGGAGCGCCGCCTGGAGGGCCCCGCCCCCGCCGCCCGCCGGCCGCCCTACCATTGCTCCGCAGGAAGGCCATCTGGCAGGACAGGATGCGCACGTCCGCGGGGAAGTGCTTCAGGTGGAAGAGCAGGGTGGCGTGATCTGGGGATGGAGCAGCAGCCCGGTGGGCGGTGCGGGCGTCCACCTACCGGCACCCCACACAGGACACACACCCCACTCACCCCACACCCCACACAGGACACACACACCACTCACCCCACACCCCACACAGGACACACACACCACTCACCCCACACCCCACACAGGACACACACACCACTCACCCCACACCCCACACAGGACACACACACCACTCACCCCACACCCCACACAGGACACACACACCACTCACCCCACACCCCACACAGGACACACACACCACTCACCCCACACCCCACACAGGACACACACACCACTCACCCCACACCCCCACACACCACACCACTCACCCCACACCCCACACACACACACCACTCACCCCACACCCCACACAGGACACACACACCACTCACCCCACACCCCCCACACACACACACCACTCACCCCACACCCCACACACACACACACCACTCACCCCACACCCCCCCCCACACACCACTCACCCCACACCCCACACACACACACACCACTCACCCCACACCCCACACACACACACCACTCACCCCACACCCCACACACACACACACCACTCACCCCACACCCCACACAGGACACACACACCACTCACCCCACACCCCACACAGGACACACACACCACTCACCCCACACCCCACACAGGACACACACACCACTCACCCCACACCCCACACACACACACACCACTCACCCCACACCCCACACACACACACACCACTCACCCCACACCCCACACAGGACACACACACCACTCACCCCACACCCCACACACACACTCACACATCACTCACCCCACACCCCACACAGGACACACACACACATCACTCACCCCACACCCCACACACACACTCACACATCACTCACCCCACACCCCACACATACACTCACACACACACACACATCACTCACTCCACACCCCACACAGGACACACACACCACTCACCCCACACCCCACACACACACTCACACACACACACACCACTCACCCCACACCCCACACAGGACACACACACCACTCACCCCACACCCCACACACACACTCACATCACTCACTCCACACCCCACACAGGACACACACACCACTCACCCCACACCCCACACATACGCTCACACACACACACACACATCACTCACCCCACACCCCACACATACACTCACACACACACACACACACACACATCACTCACCCCACACCCCACACATACACTCACACACACACACACACCACTCACCCCACACCCCACACATACGCTCACACACACACACACACATCACTCACCCCACACCCCACACATACACTCACACACACACACACACACACACATCACTCACCCCACACCCCACACATACACTCACACACACACACACACCACTCACCCCACACCCCACACATACATTCACACACACACACACCACTCACCCCACACCCCACACACACACACACACACACACACATCACTCACCCCACACCCCACACACACACACCACTCACCCCACACCCCACACACACACACACCACTCACCCCACACCCCACACACACACTCACACACACACACATCACTCACTCCACACCCCACACAGGACACACACACATCACTCACCCCACACCCCACACACACACACTCACACACACACACACCACTCACCCCACACACACACTCACACACACACACATCACTCACCCCACACATACGCTCTCACACACACACACATCACTCACCCACACCCCACACATACGCTCTCACACACGCACATGCCACACACCAAGGGGGTCTCAGACCTGCTCTCAGCTCCAGCTGCTGCTTCTCCAGCTTGGCTTCCAGGGATGTCACTTTGTCACTCGTGCTGCCCCCTGAGGAAGAGGAAAGCCGCACGGGTCCCCTCCATCCGCCTCCTCAGCACCCTCCAGCTCACCCACTGGAGCACCAGCACGTCACTCACCTGGTCACAGGCTCTGCCCCCCCCCCACCCCCAGCTCCCAACTCTGCCCCTGCCCTGCCCCCGGCTTTCTGAGGAACAAACCCGCTCGCCCCCCCACTCCCGCCTGCAGCCCCTCCCTGGGCCCCACGGTCCCAAAAGGAAGCCCACTCACTCACACAGCCTGCTCCGTGGCCGGCCCGGCCCGCCTCGCCTCCTGGGCAGATCCGTCCTCTCTGCCCGGCACTGACCCCTCTTCCCCTGCCCATCCAGCCACCCCTCAGGGCCCTCAGCCGGGGGCCTGCCGGGCACCTGCCCACGGCCCACAAACACCCCTCTGCGGCCCGGCCCGGCGCCCCCGAGGCCAGCCGGTGCTGCTAAGCGGCTGCCTGGCCTCCCCTCCGCGGCCCGGCCCTCCGGGAGCCTCACCGTGGAAGCCGAGCGTCCGGATCTCCGTGAGGGTGCTGGCCGAGAAGTTGCTGAAAGCATCCTTTAGGGCCCAAAACTCCCTCTGCATCTGGGCTCCTTGTCAGGAGAGAGAGGGCACGGGGCAAAGTGGAGGGGGCTGTGCCCCAGGTGACAGCCTCATCACTGTCATGGCACCGACCCCCCCACCACCATCCCAGCACTGCTCCTTACTGCCTCCAAGGCTTCCCTGCCATAGCTCTCACTGCCCCCCGTACTGCCCCCGCCCCCGCACCGCCCCCCACACCCCGCACCCCCCCCCACGCCCCGCACTGCCCCCGCCCCCGCACCGCCCCCCCACACCCCGCACCCCCCCACGCCCCGCACTGCCCCCCCCACGCCCCGCACCGCCCCCCACGCCCCGCACCGCCCCCCAACGCCCCGCACCGCCCCCCACACCCCGCACCGCCCCACACACCCCGCACTGCCCGTATCTCCTCCCATCACGGCCCATCCCACCGGCCTCTGCGATGCTCACTCTGGGACCCGATCACGCCCACGGCCACCAGCAGCAGCACGTTGAAGCCCAGGACCAGCAGGCTGAGCCAGAGGCTGGAGCTGAGCCTACGCAGCAGCGAGGGCTGGGGAGGGGGCGCTCCTGCGAGGGAAAGGCTGTCAGGGGGGGCTGGCCGGAGCCCGCCTAACGGAGCGTCCAGGGGAGCAGAGGTCTCAGGAAGTACATCCCGGGGTGGGTGGGGGGGAAGACTGTGGGCTTTGGCCCCAGCTCTTCAGCATTGCACACACATGCATTTGCACGCTGGCACCCACGTGAATACATGAATGTGCACACACCTACACGGGCATGCAACACCCCTGCGCATGGCACCAGTAGTCACGCCATTGGCCATTGGTGTGTAAAGGCCCCACTCAGACCTGGGGGCCCAGGGAGCAGGCCCCCTGCTCTTAGATCCATGCCTGGGCTCCTCCAGCAAGTCTGAAACTGGAACCCCCACCTCCCAACGCCCCTGGTCATCCCCCATGGGCTGCAGTCCGAGGCCAGTCCTCTCTCACATTCCACCCGAGCTCCTTTCCCACGTCTCTCTGCCCTTCCGCCCCAGGAACCCTTGTTCCTCCCTAAAAACTCCCCCCACAGCCTCAGTCACCTCCCAGAAGCCCCTCCTCCCCTCGGTCAAGCGGAATCCTGAAAACACACACACACACACACACACACTCACACTCATTACTGACACATCGGGCCTCTGACTGCTCTCTCATACTGTCCGTGTATGGGGGCCCTTGTCCTCTTCCCAGCCTGACCTACGACCTGTGAACCTTCAACTCCGGGTCAGCTCAACAACCTGGCTCTGCCCGCCCCTCTGCACGGACCCAGACCGCCCGTGGCTGAGTCCCACTGTGCCGCCAGCCAGCTCTGAGGCCAGAGGCAAGTCATCCAGCCTCTCGGTGCCTCCGTTTCCCGTGTCCACGTACACAGTCTAACCGTCAAACTCATGGAGACGGGGCGGGATGGTGGCTGCCAGGGGCTGGGCTGGGAGATCGGGGATTGCTGCTCAGCGGGTGTGAAGTTATGATTGCACAAGATGTGTGAGCTCTGCACATCTGCTCATCACTGCCATGGCACCGCCCCCCCCCCCCCCCCCCCCCCCACTGTGCCTGCTTCACAAGCAGCGCCGCGCACTTTCAGCGCTGTGGAAGGGTCGGCCCCACTGTGCGCTCTTACCACGATAGGAGCACAGTGGGTAAGCACAGCAGCTACCGATGGGCTGTTCTGAGCGTGAAATGGGTTTATCGTGTGGGGCACTGCGCAGGCAGGTTGGAAAATTAAAGAAAGGGTCAGCCCAACGGAACAATAAGGATGAGACGGGCCCTCCTCCCAGAGACACCAAAACGAGAAACAGCTTTTCTTTTATAAGAAACTGCCACTTTCAAGGCTCCGGCTTTCAAGCAACACAGAGCAAAGATCCCTGGCAGACAGGAGGCGAACAGAGAAGCCTATGGCTGTCCCAGCCTATGCCGGGAAGAAGTTTCTGTTGTTGTTGTTTTTTAATTGATTTTGTACAGAGAGGAAGGGAGAGGGATAAAGAGTCAGAAACATCGATGAGAGAGAAACCTCCATCAGCTGCCTCCCGCTCGCCCCACACTGGGGATGTGCCCGCAACCAACGTACATGCCCTTGACCAGAATCGAACCTGGGACTCTTCAGTCCGCAGGCCGATGCTCTGTCCACTGAGCCAAACGGGTTAGGGCTGGGAGGGAGTTTTCAGGCCACGGGGCAGGGAGCAGCAGGCCCAGCAGAGGCCAGCAGACTCGCCCAGTTGAAGAGACGGGGCCAAGAGTCTGAGGAGACCGGGGTCGTTACACATCACAGGACAAAGTATCGGGGAGAGAGCTGCCCAGAGCAGTCCAGACATCTGTGCAGTGTTCCCTTCAAGCAATCAGTGATAAACAGAACCACCCGAGACCAGGCAAAAGCAATCTGCAAGGATTGGGGAGCGGGGCCTGGCCCTCACACAGGGCCGGAAACAGTGCTGCCCCCACCGGCCAGACTGGGACACATCCCCTACAAGGCGCTGGGTAGTGGACCCAAGAAGCCCTTGCCCCCACCATGTTCCAGACCCACCTGACAAGTCATAAACACAACACCCAGAAGGACCACAGTGAACTGTGGGTCCGCTACATCCCAGAATAAAGCTCAAGAATATTGAGAGGAACACAAAAATACAGCACTCAAATGTAAATCGCAGTGTCTGGTGTCCAACCAGAGATTCCTAGACATACAAAGAAGCAGGAAAACACATTTTGTAACAAGGAGGTTAATCAATCCATCAAAAGTGACCCAGAACTGACACAGGTGTTAGAATTAGCAGAAAGGACATTAAAATAGCTATGGTAACTGTGCCCCATATATTCAAAAAATTAAGTAGAGTATCAAGGAGGATATTTAAAAGGCCCATGTTGAACTTCTAGACACAAAAACTACCATGTACGAGATAAAAAATAAAAAATACCCTGGGTGGAATTAATGAAAAATTAGACAGACATAAGGAAAGATTTGTAAACTTTAAGATATAGCAATAAAACTCCATAAAAAGGAACACCGAGAGAGAGAGAGAAAAAAAATTTTAATGGAAATAGCATCAGTGAACTGTGGGTCCGCTCATGGATGCAGAACTGGAGTCCGTGAAGGACAGGGGAGGAGGGGGAGGCAGACACTGGCCAAATGTTTCCAAACTTGCTGAAAACAGAGGCATAAGAGGTGCTTGGAGCGTGGGAGGACGGCGGGCAGGCAGGAGGACAGTCAGCTCCCCCGCCAACCGATGCTGGCACACCTCAGCGCTGCCCTGCAGTGTCTCCATCCGGCCTGCTGGGCGAGCACCTTCTCCCATGAAACCCCAAACCTCTGGGCTGTCTCCAGACCCCCTGCTTACACGCGGAACCCTTTCACCTTCGGAGGATGCGACAATTCCCCAAATCATTGTTGAGTGTTCTCTGCATCCCAGTATCACGTGGGTATTGACAACGCAGAGGGCGTGAGGCAGTGTGGCCTTTGCCCACTCACTGCCAAGCCTCCAGTGGGAATGCCTGTGCCTCCTGCTGCTCCCGCCCTGCCCAGCTCCCACCGGCACCAGCACTGGCCTCCGCTGCCCGCCAGCCTCAGAATGGAGGGGTTTCTCCTCCCAGCCCAGGCTAGCCAGGTCCTCTCCCTGAGCTCCGAGCCCCAGCCCCTCCTGTCTCCACTGAGCCTCACTCCGTCACCGGCACCCACACACCTGACACTCCCACCCCCACCCCTGGCTCCAGCCCTTCAGCCTAGAACGGCTCGGGTCTCTCTTGCCTTAAAACCATCTCCCAGACATGGGCCTTCCATCAAGATCTGCCAGAGAAAGATCAGGGGAGGGGTGTTGGGAGGAGTGAGAATGTTCCAGAATATACCTATGTCCATTATTCCCCTTACCCATCCCCACACCCTCCCGCATACACACATACACACACACTCTCCCGGCTGAACGGGCTTCCCAGCACACAGCACACGTCGGAAGGAAGAGGGGAGGAAGTCACCTGCAGCCCCCACCCACTCCTCACCTCTGGGCACGCACCTTTCCCAGGGCCCTGAGGGTGGAGAGGAAGGTGAGGTCAGGGGTACCGGGAGTTTGGGCACCACACGCCTATACACGCGTGGGGCCTGGACCTGCCCGCGGAGTGACCGTGACAGAGACCTCAGAGAGGCAGAGCGGTCGGGAGCTAGAGAGGGGAGGCGGAGCCCAGAAACCGGGTACTTGCCTTTCCAAAATGCCTCTGCTCCCCTGGGCCTGTTTCCACGCCTGCCTGGCCCCTCACCCCAGTCCAGCTGGTGCTCATTCTCCTCGGGGTCCAGCTGCTGGGTGTCGGGGAAGTCCTTCTCCATGCCGGGTCCAGGGCCGCGCTGCACCCGGGGCTGAGCGGAGGCTGCTCTCAGGGCTGGGGCTGGTTCGGGGCGGACGTCGGTGCTAATTCCCGTGGAGGCTGGTGATGGTGTTGGAAGTGGGGTGAGAGCAGATCGAGGAGACGGCTTGGGTTGGGTCTGAGGTTGGAGGTGAGTTGTTTGGGGCTGAAATACAGCCAGTCCTGTGCCCTCTCCGATGACTGCTTAGGCTGTGGCATGGCCATGAGGGAGCCTTCCCTCCACACACTCACCTTCCCATCCGGCCCCCCACAGCCCCTCCACCACGGTCTCCTTGATACCAAACATCCCCAGTCCCACCTGCCTCCCCGGCCCTGGGTACCTGCTAACGCTGTGGAGGGCTCACTCCGGTCCCACGGGCACCCCCCAAGGCTGAGGAGGAGCTGGAGCCGGGAGCAGTGGGACGGAGGGGGGAGGGGGCTGGTCCAGGTGAGGGCCCTGAGCCGGTGTGTCTGAGTGCCCCAGTGGCTGTCACCTGGCATCTCCTGACCCCGGGACTTTGGACAGTAAACAGGAGTGGACATGGAGTTGGGAGGCAGGCCAAGCATGGTGGGGGCTGGGGCGGGACTGACTCCGCTCTTTCCGGAGGAAGGGTCTCCTGGCCTGTCCCCCTCCCCACTGTGAGCCGGTCACCTCGAACCCCATTGCACCGTTTGGAAGGGAGGCCAGGCCAGGCGGGTGGAAGTGCCCTTCAGGGTTTCCCCTCCCCCCTCCCCCTTTCACTTCCCGCCTCTGAGTTTCCCAGAATTGTTGGTGTCTCCAACACCCTGACCAGGATCAGAGGGGCCTGTGCTCTGTTCTTGCCCAATCTGGCACCAGAGCCCAGGCCCAGCGTCCTGTCAGGGGCTCAGCCCAGGCTCCCTGTGCTGTGCTGACAAGCAGCGCCCCCTGGGGGACTGACCCCCCCCTGGAGACCCAGATGTGCAGGGGGAGGAGGTGTTAGGGGCAGAAACAGAATATTGGGGGCCAGCTACAATGATAAGAAATACCGATCGTGCTCTGTTCACCAGGATGGTTCTGTTCTGCTTAGAGAAAGCGCATTCTAAGCTGGCTGGGGGTTGCACGCCCTGGCACATGGGAGCTAAGGTCAGAATGCAGTCCATCCTCCCGCCCTGAGAACTGCCTATGTTTATGGAAAGATTCACAACCTCGTGGCTAGTCCCAGAGGCGCCTGCTCTTTCTGACCCAGCACTATTGCCTGTAATCCGGTGAACCTGGAGGCACCTGCCCTCTACAGCCCCACTCCAGCCCACATTGTTACAGAGTTCCCAAACAATCAAACAACACAGGAGGAGAGTCTGGAGAGACTTACTTTATTCATCCCGCGATGAGCTTAGAGAAAATGAATTCAAATTCTAAGCAAGGCTACAAGCAGAACTTCCCTTTTTATTCAAGATCCAGCCCTCCTGGGAGCGGCCAGGCCCAGAGTGGCCAGGCCCGGAGCAGCCGGGTTGGGTGTGGCCAGGCCCGGAGCAGCGGCTGCCAGGCTGGGGGCGGCCAGGCCCGGAACAGCCTCTGCCAGGCTGGGAGCGGCAGACCCAGAGCGGCCAGGCCCGGAGCGGCCGGGCACAGAGCATCCAGGTCAGGTGCGGCCAGGCCTGGAGCAGCAGCAGCCAAGCCCGGAGCAACCAGGTCGAGAGTGGCAGAGGCCAGACCCGGAGCAGCTGGTTGTGGAACGAACCAGAGCAACAGAGGCCAGGCCCGGAGCAGCCAGGCCCGGAACAGCTCACTCCTCGCCTGCCCCCGCCCCAAGGCTGCCTCTCAGACATGGCTGGAAACTTTTCTGGGAACTTGAGGGTCTGCTGAATCAAGTGATGAAGGCTTAGATCTGGATATGTTGAGTTAGTATAGCACTGGGGTGTTGATCTGTGAGTGCCTTGGGTGGGGCCTGGATGAAGTTGGTTGACCTATTTGGAAATGTCTTTTGTGTGAAATGTATCATTGGGCATGTGGAGGTATTATTGATATGAGAAAATGCTAAGTAACTGATTTACTATCTGAAAAGGGATTTACTATCAGGGAAAGGGAGGGAGGAAGAGACTGAACATAAACTGTGCACCTATGGATGAGGACAATGGGGGAGGGGAGGGGGGCGGAGGGTGGGATGGGGACCTGGTGGAGGGGGGAAGAAATGAGGAACCTTTGTAATAATATGAACAATAAAGATTGATTTAAAAAATAAAAATAAATAAAAAAGAGCCAGCCCTCTGTGCACTTAGTGGTTATCTCGATGCTGGCCTTGAAAACAATACAGTTCTATCCAACTAAAAATGCAACTGGCATGGCCTTGAGATTATGGGCATATCTAGTCTCCGGCCTACAAGGTCATACAGCTAAGTTTATCTTCATCACCATTCAAACAGGCCAAAGCAGCCTAGAAAGCAACATTTTATCTAAGAAAAACAGCAGAAAATTCCAAACAGCGGTTTTTATAAAACAGGGGTTTTCCTTCTCAACATGACTTATAACCTGTGATGATTGTCCCGGGCCTACTCTCCCAGGCCTCCAATTCCTACTCCCCCACGTACCCTTTGTCCTTCTTCCCATATAAGCAGCCGGCTTCTGGTGGGGGCAGAGCAGATGTTTGGGGGTGACCCGCTGCTCTCCCACACGGCCGGCAGCATTGGAATCGACGCCCATATCTGATTCACCCCTGTCGCTGCCGAACTGGCTCAAGTGGTGACATGCAGCCCGGACCCCTTGCTTGTCCGGTTCCAGAGGGAGGGCTGGGCAGGAGGGGTGCCACCCCAGTGAGCCTCTTCCATAGCCCTGGCCACACAAACCTTTGTCCTCACTCCCAGCCAGTTTCTCGTGTAACTCTCACCACACAGCACCTCGGGGGAGACAACTGCCCCCAAAATTTTAAAAAAATAAAATAAATAAAAATAAAGCCGAAACCGGTTTGGCTCAGTGGTAGGGCGTTGGTCTGCGGACTGAAAGGTCCCGGGTTCGATTCCGGTCAAGGGCATGTACGTTGGTTGCGGGCACATCCCCGGTGGCGGGTGTGCAAGAGGCAGCTGGTCGATGTCTCTCTCTCATCGACGTTTCTAGCTCTCTCTCTCCCTTCCTCTCTGTAAAAAAATCAATAAAATATATATATATTTTTTAAATTAGCCTCGGGGAGGTTAAGCGACTTGCCTTGGGTAGAGGGACTGAGGGGAGGGCAACGGGAAGCAGAGCATAAAAGAGGGATCTTCACAGTCAGTCCGACAGGAAGGGGGGCTCCACGGACTGAGGAACGGGAGTTATCGCTACGCTCACACTCACAACGGTCTGGGGAGAAAGCACCGTCTGGTTTTCAGACCCTCGCCTCCTGGGCTGCTTATAAAGTGTGCCCTGGTGCTGGAAAGGGGTTGAGACAGAGACCTGTGCTTTCCTTCTGTGTGTGTGTGTGTGTGTGTGTGTGTGTGGTGTTTTAATTGACATTTAACATTGTATTGTTTCAGGTAAAATGCATTTTTTGTGGTAACTTCCTGACACACACACACACACACACACACACAAACAAACACGGGAAATAGCCACGTGATTAGATATCAGGACTTTCCTATGAAGCCACCAAGGCAGAGGTGGCTGCTCTGCTGTTTGACTGTCGCCCACAGTAAGAGACGCGCTCTACAACGTGATCCGGGACACACACACGAGCACCTGCGCACACGTGCATTTTTGTAGGTTTTACTGCTTTCTGAATCCCCAGCACATAGTAGGTGCTCAACAGGTGTTGATTGAATGAACAAGTGATTGGATGGATGAATTTGTAGATATACTGTTGACATGAAAGTTTCGTAAAGCAATGCTTACCTTACTACTTGCATTCTATTTCTTTTCTTCATAGATTTTATGATCTTTTTAAAATATGTTTTTATTGACTTTAGGAAGAGAGGGAGAGCAGGGGGGGAGGGAGGGAGGGAGAGAGAGAGAGAGAGAGAGAGAGAGAGAGAGAGAGAGAGAGAGAGAGAGAGAGAGAGAGAGAGAGAGAGAGAGAGAGAGAGAGAGAGAGAGAGAGAAACATTGATTGGTTGATTGATTGGTTGGTTGGTTGGTTGGTTGCTTCCCATAAGCACCCGGGGATTGAACCTGCAGCCTGGGCATGGGTCCTGCCCAGGACTGAAATGGCCACCTTCGGGGGCATGAGATGACGCTCAGCCAGCTGAGCCACCCCGGCCAGAACTAATTGCATTCTGTTTCATGAACCAACTAAGTTGAATTTCCCTGGTCCATTAATCAGTCACAAATCAAAGTTTGGAAAACACTGTCATGAAGACCTACTTTGGCAGGGACAAGGTCTCAGTTCTGAGATATAAGCGAGAACTCAGCAAACAGATTGTCAGCTGCATGTGCAGGTTCACCAACTGCCATCCAGGGACAGAGGGAGTCTCTGGCCGCCCACCTCGACTGAATACATTCCAAGTTTCAAGGTACAAACTCCCTCCTGGCACTGGCGAGATGGGGCAGAATGTGAGAGATACCTGCTGCCTCCTGTTCTTTCTAACCATCTGAAAGCCAGCATGTTCGTTTGCCAACACCTAACGTATACTTGGAGTATTTCTTACGTTTCCACGTCGACTCATTACTCTTATGTTAGGGTTTTTCTGATTTGGGTTATTGTGGGAGCAGCCACGGTGTTTGGACAGGTTCAGGCCTTGGACTAATGAGAGGGCACAGTCCTCTCGTGGCCACGTGCAAGTCCCAGCCTGGAGGGCAGAGCCCTCCCCGCACAGTGATAGCCGACGGCTGTGGTTGTGAGCGTGACCCTGTGGTCCGAACACGCGGTCCCACGTGCCTGAGTGATAGAGGCTGCAAGTAAACAAAGCCTGATCAGGTGCATGGAACTGAGTAGGTTCAAAACCCACGAGAACATCCTGGCCACGCCCTTACTTTGCCTCATGGCATCTGACTGTAAAATAAAGACAGGGCTTGCAGTCCGTGGCGCTGGTGTTAGCTCTGTCAGAGAGGACAGTGTCCCACCGAGACCCAGCTTGCTTCTCTTGTCTGTCTTTTCTAATCCTTCACCGCCCCCTCTCAGGCTCACCGAACCTGGCTGAGCTGGCACAGCACATAAGGCTCCCTGGGGCTGAGTGTGCCAGGGCCGTGCCAGCCCGCCACAGGTATAAAGTCCTGTCTTATGGGGTTGGTTTTGGTTTTGGGGGGAGGGATTTTGGTGGGGAGGGTGGGTTGTGTACCTAAGGCATAGAAAGTGAAGTTAGTCAATTTCTGAGTTCATGACACCAGTCTTCTTCTGAAGTCTGAGCAAAATCTTTCTCTTGTCTTATATAATACTTTCCCTCCTGCACTCTGTTTCGCCACACCAATTTCCCCGCTCTCCACAGGCAACCAAAGCGGTGTGTTTACTAAATACGGCAGTCTCAAAGATGGCAGCCATCAGCTTCTCCCTTCACTGTGTATGCAAGTCAAAATAGCCATCCAGGGATAGATTCCATTCTCCTCCCTTTGAGTCCAAGCTGACCATGTGACTTGCTTTGACCAATAGGAAGTGCTTGAAGCCACACTCTGCCTAGCCTTTAAGACACCTGGAAGGTTCAGTTTTCACTCTTGGAAGCCAGACATCATGCTAGAAGGAAGTCCAGCTATTAGGCTAGAGCACATGTGTCAAACACAAGGCCCAAGGGCCAAATCCGTCCCGCCAGGCCTTGCAATGTGGCCCGCACCGCGCTGTCATCACTGCACTCCGCTGCGTTTCCATCACAATGACAGTTTATGACTGTTCAGTAAACCATTCGGCCCACGATTTAGGCTGGATTTTAGATTTTGGCCCCTTCTCTGATTGAGTTTGACACCCCTAGGCTAGAGAGAGGGGGTTCATGGGGAAGCCTAGGATGGAGGCTGGGCTGGGGACGGGGTGGGGTGGGGTTTAAGACACAATATGGAGAGAAAGAGAGAGAGAGGGAGACCACACACAGGAGCACGAGGCCCCCAACATGTGAGCAAAGCCTTCTGGGAGCTTCCAGAGCAGCATGGCCAATGGCTGGAGGCATCCAAACATATGGGCAGAACATTCCTCCGGTGCCAGCCTAGGAGGCTGGGAAGGTGGGCATCCATCCTGGCCGACTCATTCCCACACCAGGAGACTGTTTCCATCACCACCATGCTGCCCCTGTCCCCTTCTGTACTCTCTTTTTCTCCAAAGCGCCAGTCAGCATTTCACGCATCATGCATTTGGGTCTGGTTACTCTCTTCCTGTGAATGCGAGAATGCAGGCCCATCGAGAGCAGGACTCGTCTCATTCAGTCCCGGCTCCCAGGTCTGGGTCAGTGCTTGCACACCGTCTGCTTCCGGGACCAGTGAGTACGTACTGCACGAGTGAATGGGTGGCCCGTGCCTCTCTCCCTGTCCGCACGCCAGCTCTCTGAGCTCAGGAACTACCTTCCTCACCACTCAATCCCCCCAAAAGCGAGGAGAACGGAGAGCCCAACCCTGTACGGGTGTCTCCCTGTCTGAAGGCAGATGGAGAAGACCAGGGCTTTCGGAGTCAAACACAAGTAGGAGTTCTGGTCCTGCCGCTTACTAGCTCTGAGTGAACATGGACACACTACTTACGGAGCTTCCATTTCTTCAGTGGAAGTGATATGGTGGGGAACGGGTTTTTATCGAGCTCCTGCCTCATGTAGCCCTGTGGGCATTAAGTGCGTTCAGGAAGAAAAGGTATCAAACCCTGAGCCTGTCCACAAAGCAGCTGCTCGATAAAAACCCGTTCCCGTCCCCCTGACCGCAGGTGTCCACCTGCACCCAGTCCCCGGAGGAGACGCCACAGCAGGAGCTGGGAGCCTGGGGCCCAGAGGAGCGCCCGCCTCCCGTGGCTCAGGCAGGGGTGGCGGAGAAGGACGGGCCCTGCTGGGCACTCAGACAACCAAGAAGCTGGGCAGGAAGTGAAAGGAGGCGTGAGGCAAAGGGGAAACAGCAGCTTCACCCCTGGCCCCTTCTGGGCGGTCCACACACTCCTGCATCACAAAATGAGGAAGCAGGAGAGCCGGCAGGAAGGGGCAGAGGGAGACTCACTGAGGAGGAGAGTCAGAGCGGCCCTGTGCACACACACACTCTCTCTCACACACACACTCACACACACTCTTAACACTCACACACACACACACTCTATCTCTCTCACACACACTCTAACACTCACTCACACTCACACACACACACACACTCTCTCACACACTCTTAACACACACACAATCTCTCTCACACACACTCTAACACTCACACACACTCATACTCTCACTATCACACACACACACTCACACACACTCTTAACACTCACACACACACACACACACAATCTCTCTCACACACACTCTAACACTCACACACACACACACACACACACTCTCACACACTAACACACACTCACACTCTCACACACACTCTTAACACTCACACACATTTTTACACACACACACACTCACTCCCACACACACACACACACACTATCTCTCTCACACACACTCTAACACTCACACACACTCACACACACTCACACACACACAAACTACACACACACACACACACACTCTCTTAACACTCACACACACTCTCTCTCTCACACACATTCTCACACCTACACTACACACACACACACACAATTTTTACACACGAACACACTCACACACTCACACACACACTCACACACACACACATACTCTCTCTAACACACACACACTCACACACTCACACACACACTCACACACACTCACACACACACACTCACTCACACACACACTCACACACACACACACACACATACTCTCTCTAACACACACACACACTCACACACTCACACACACACTCACTCACACACACACTCACACACACACACACACTCACTCACACACACACACTCACACACTCACACACACACTCACACACACACTCACACACACACTCACACACACACACACACTCACTCACACACTCACACACACACACACACACTCACTCGCCCCGATCTTACAAGCCCATTTCCCTGCTCTCCCAGGCTAGTCCCGGGCCACTGGCTAGGCTGGCTCAGGTCTGTGTCTGCTCCCCCACCCACCCGCATCGCCGCCTGCAGCCTGACAGGCGCATTCCCCCTGCATGTCACCCAGACTTCCCATGGGGGGGCACACTATGCTGAGAGGACAAGCATGTGCTTAAAGTTCAGGGGCACTGGAAGCAGGGGTGGTTCAGATGGCAGCCATGGTGGGGGTACGGAGACCTGAAATGCCAGCGAGGATGTGAGAAAGGCGCCGGTCGGGAACCTTCCTCGGAGTCTCTCAGCCACGTTGCTTTCTGCCTCCTGGACGTGACTGCAAGTTCTCAGGCCAAACACAGGCACGGGGTCCTGGTGACGGACTCAGACACCCACTGTGGGCTGCCCAGGGAGA